ACTAATTATTAGATAGTAAGTGATAATTAGTAAATAGTAAGTACTAATTAGTAGATAGTAAGTGCTAATTAGTAGATAGTAAGTTATAATTAGTAGATACTAAGTCATAATTAGTTGATAGTAAGTACTAATTATTAGATAGTAAGTTATAATTAGTAGATAGTAAGTACTAATTAGTACATATTTAGTAATAATTATTAGATAGTTAGTACTAATAAGTAAATGCTAAGTCATAATTAGTAGATACTAAGTCATAACTGATTCCGAGATTTCCCGTGAAATCAGAAATGCTTCAAAACTGTTGTCAGATTGACTATATTCCTCGGCATCAGCCATGTTAACAGAATGCAAGCAGCGATTACAATATTATAACTTAGTATGTACTAATTAGTACTTACTATCTACTAATTATGACTTATTATGTTCTAATTAGTACTTACTATCTACTAATTATGACTTATTATCTACTAATTAGTACTTACTATATACTAATTATGACATAGTATCTATTAATTAGTACTTACTATCTACTAATTATGACTTATTATGTTCTAATTAGTACTTACTATCTACTAATTATGACTTATTATCTACTAATTAGTACTTACTATATACTAATTATGACATAGTATCTATTAATTAGTACTTACTATCTACTAATTATGACTTAGTATCTACTAATTAGTACTTACTATCTAATAATTAGCACTTACTATCTACTAATTATGACTTAGTATCTACTAATTAGTACTAACTATATACTAATTATGACTTAGTATATACTAATTAGCACTTACTATCTCCTAATTAGTATTTACTGTCTACTTATTATGACTTAGCATCTACTAATTAGCACTTACTATCTACTAATTAGCACTTACTTTCTACTAATTAGCACTTACTTTCTACTAATTAGCACTTACTATCTACTAATTATGACATAAAAACATTTCAGGTTTGGCACTAGGACGCTTCCATACCAACCAGTACTGGTGTCATATGAAGAAACATGGTCGTGACTTGAGTAGGGCTCGATCCAATGCTTATTGAAACTCAAGATCAGACACCTTAACCCTTAGGAAACCGCGCCCCCCCCCCCCCCCTCCCCCCCCCCCCCCCCCATTCGCTATCTCCATTAGTAACGAAGTAGAATTTTGATATTGGAAATAGTATATTTTGACATAATTTTGCATAACAACTGCAAAAGTTTCACATGGAGGTAAATATTCATTCATACATTTCATAAAATATTTGTTCATATGTCTGAAGATTTTTCTTATTCACTATCAAATGAAACTTTATAATCGAGCAGGACCTCTTCCACAATTGTGCAAATAAATTGAAGCAACCCTAATAAAAGATTTGATCATGTGAAATTTCTTTAATTTCTTACGATATTGGACACAATTGCAATTATATAATTGGTTTTTACCATGGTATCTACGCAACCTTCAACACGTAGCTAGTCTACTTTTTAATAAACAAGGATTAGACGTTAAGTTCGCGCGAGTTTACAATTCTTTAAAGACTTAAGAATTAATGCTAAAAACTTACAGTTTAGAAAATTGAATGAATAAAATGCTAATCTTATTTTATTAGGTACCCCTTAATTGAGGGACGAATAGAAGTGTAGTTTTCAGAGATTGTTCATATTGAAATATTTTAATTTTGTGAGAATAGGAAGTAGAGGAAAAGCATTGAATTATCTCTTACGAGATATATATTATTTTTTAAATTATACATTAATTTATTTATTTATTTTCTCTGTTGATAACTTACGTTACTTTTTATCAAATTACCAATGATTCACGTTCGCGGAGACAGCAAGTCAATCTTTTCACCAGACCAATCCTACAACATACATTTATATGCGCGTGCCACGGTGGACCTTTAAAGAAATTAGAATTCAAAAATAAACGTACCCTCGTGACTTAAATGACATCATTAGCTGACATAATTATCACATCATCGCGATTTTCTACGTTGTCTCAGATATATATGCAAAATATATTATATTTCTTAATGGAGTTCAATAAGTCCATTGCCATTTTCATGTAATATTTATCTTTCTTATGGTGAATTTTTACAAATTAGTTCTAAAATTATACATATTGACATATATTTTCATTCTAAGTTACACAGTTCTTTATATAAGCGCTTGCAAGTCTTCTGGTAAATCATGAAAACAACAACAACAACAACAATAATAATAATAACAAAATAACAACAACTATTTTTTACGTAAACTCACCTTACATCTGTATAGGTGCCACAATTCTGGACTATTTCCTTTAGCTTCAGTCCTCTATTTGAATAAACTAAAAATTCATGAACATAGCGGCACTTGCCAACACTCATGGCATAATCAGACGACAAATAGAAACGAGATTAATTGTGAAATGAACGCGATAAATGCGAAGCACGTGGCTGATAACACTGTACCTAATGAAACAAGAACGACTCTGATATCTATTTAAATTAAATATATAAAGCTTTAACTGTTTACATATCTATAAGAAAATCACAGTCTCTGATTGAAAGGGGGCTATATTGGTAGAATTTAAGCATTGAAGTACCGTAGACATCGTGTTGACTGTTGATCGACTTATGCCAAAGCAAAGCAATACTACGTCCTTTGAAAACTTTGTTTGGTAAATACAATTGATATGATGTATTTGGTATATTTCAAACAATAAAGGAAGCTAAGTGCAAATAAGCTAAAAGCTTTCTTTGCAATCGATCGTTTTAGACGAATAATATAGCCAAAGAATGCTTTTATCTAACATTCTAGATTAAATTAGTGACTGGTTTTACCAATAAACTATGATGTCCAAGTAAATACTTGCATTATATAACTGCATCGTTGAGTATTATGTAATGCTTTCTAAAGGTACATATAAATAAAAACGATTTTCCTCTTAATTAAAGTTCATATATAATCTTCTAATATTGGATTTAGAGCAAGCTAGAGCAGTTTTGGTGTGAAATAATTGACATTACAGTAGCAAAACGTAAACAAAATAGATTAATGTTTTGGAAATTGTAACATAACACCAAAATCAAACGCCTTTGAGAAATTAATGAAAAAGAATTGTTGGGGTTAATGGGCCCTTAAAATTTTGATTAAGCAGCTGGTAACAGGTTTTCAATGGTATAGAAAACTTGACAGGACTGGGAATATTTTCCCGAGATTTTGAAGGTCTGGACTAATGACTTGCGTGCAAATGTGGAGGTCATTCCCTGACTCTGTTTTACCAGAATAATCTTTTTTTGTGAAAATAATCCAAAAATGAAAAACGTTGCAACGCTTTTCACTCAAATTCGGCCTAGAATCTCACAAAATTCGTTTTTCAATTTAATTCTGAGTACATTTCTTTGTTATCTTTTGCAGGTTTTCCTTTTTAAAGGGGTTTTCACTTAATTTTTGGGTATTTTTTAATTTTTATGTAAATTTAAAAGGACCTTTGGACCTCAAGGGTTTTTTCCTTTTAAAATGAAAATTTACCTGAAAAAACTTTTTTTTCTTTGAAGTATCTTTAAAAATTGTTTTCTCTACTTTTTGGTAATTTTTCTTATACATTGGTATAAAACTATGAAATAGAATAAACATTTCTATGATAGAGTACTTTCATGACAAATAACAAATATTGCCTTTATTTCAAACTGCAAATAACAGTGACTTCCCTTGAAGTAGCTGAAACATTTCCAGATTCTATCTCTTGGAAATAAAATATTTATTTTAACTTTTACACATTTTACTCCTTTACAATTGAAAAGGAAATTGCCGATATTTGCAGAATATATAGATTTCTTGGTTATCTGAACTTTCCTTTTTATTCGCAAGTTAATACAAATTAAACTATTTAGTCTTTGGTCATCGAAATATACAAAAAGGAAACAGCATTTGTCAGTATGGTGGTCAGGCAAGTAAATTCCTAAGTACATCGAGGTATCTCTAAAAATAGCATCACTAAATTGCTAGGTCTTGTCCTGTAATTATATATTCCAATTACAAAATAATATCAAGTCGGGATATCTACAAAAATGCTCATGTGTCCATATGACCCAATGGCCCCACATTCCAATATTTTGTCACCAAAATAATTGAAGGGCCTACAATAAATTCTGTTACATTAAGTATCAAAAGTTATTTTTTATTTTGTTAGATGTGAGAAGAGTGCTATTTAAGGTTTCTTTTTTGCTTAATCAGGAGCAATAAATCTTCAAATAAATACAAATAAAAAAATATGTTTTAGAAAGTTCATGGCTCTACTTTTACTTTTAGAGCTCGTGCTTCTTCCGGGGCCATAACTCTGCTGATCTACAAATAATTTTCATACATGTAGCTACATACATTTCTTGAGATGTAGACTCGCGAGGAACAGACAGTGGGAAGGCGGAAAATCCCCGCCCCTTCCAAATAATAATTATAACTTTATTCAGTTTTGTTCTTTGACTAAGAACATTTTCTTTTTAGTAATTAACTAAGTGTCGGTGCTCTGGACAGCGCATTTTTGTGTGATCATGAAACATATAAGGAAGAGAAATGAATTATTCCTTCGTCGCGATCTAATCGAATATTCTACGAGCATCAGTATTTTTTTTATTCCTTTATCATGTTTACTTACCCATATATCTCAGTTATTATATATAGATATATGTACAGCCCTGTCTTTATGAAAGTTTTTATTCTATTTTTGTACAATTACGGTGTAAAGTGGATTTTAACAGTTTGAAAATCACAATAAAAACAGTTTTAATTCGAATTGAGACACTTCAAAGCACACTCGTGACAATGCAGGTTTCAACAGAGGCGAATTATTAGGGGGCGAATAGTTTCAGTACGAATCGCAACTCTAGAATTCGTTCATTGGGTAATTTCAGTCATGACGTTTTGGAGCCAAATTTGATCAGTTGATTGACACGCCGACAAAGATAAACAAAAAAAAATGGAAAATTTTCATAAATGACCAGAAAGTGTGATAGAAATACCTTTGTGTTTATAAAGTTTTAATGTTATTAAACAAATCATTGTTTACTTTATACAGCATTATTTTACAAAAGCTCTTTTAAACGATAATTTTTCGAGTCATCTCGGCCCAAAGACATTTCGTCCAAAAATTACTTGAGGTATATTTTTATATGTTTTTGGATATGAATCGACTCTTTATGAATTGTTAAGTTATCTATGTCTTATTTCTTTCATTTACAATGAAATTTAACATCATAATTATCAATTCTGTGAAAGTAATTATCAGTGATTATATTGAACTGTTTGTAAAAAAAAAAGCCTGTGCATATGCTGTAAAAAATTATGTTAAAATGGAGGTTACCAAAGTCTAAATTGCTGTTTATTGATAACAGAAAATATACCTCATATACAGTTTATATAGGCTGGCTATATGCAACTCAGATATTTATTCTTCTAAACACAGGGAAATCTGTCATTATTTTATTAAATCTATATCCTGGTTGTACTATCTACCGGGAGTGTAAGCCTTATTAGGGCCACCATGATATAATACAAAAAAAAATCTAATATAAAATAGTTATTTTCTGTAGGAGATACCATTTTTTGATGAAAATAACAATCATCCAAAAGATATTTTAATTGTACATCAAAAAGATAGTTCTGTTAATAACCTCATATGAGTGGCAGCCATTTTTGTTTTTAAGTACTTAATACCAGGAATGACTTGTAAGTAATCAATAAAAAGTTAAAAACATATGTAAATGGTCCATTACTGTTAATGATACTAAAGTTCTATTCAATATTTATCAGTTTCACACAGTAAAAGGGTAACAATTTGATAAGTATTTGCACACACATTCAAAATATCATGATGGGTCCAAATCGTTAGCAATTTTACTGGTTTTTATACGTAAAACACATAATATGGGAATAGGGTTATTAAAACTTTGAGTGTTCTTAAAAAAATGATATATTTTGTATGAAATTAATGTGAAAAACACTTACATACAAAAGAAATTTTTTATGTAAGTACTGTTTGTAATATCTGGACATTCCCGGTACAAAGTACCTCCCGGTATAAAGTACCTTGAGGATATAGATAAGTTATATCACGGAATTTACATTACAAGTCATCTAAGCCTTTTACTATTTTGAAAGTCTGAATCATGTCCCCTCTTAATCTGCGATGTATTAGACTTGGCAGTTTAAGCTTTTTAAGACGGTCAATATATGCACGGATTTATATTACAGGGATCGGACACTCCCAGTTAACCCTATATAAATGCTTAAATTATATCTTGTCGTGCACCTGATAAAGGTACATCGATCGATAATTTACCGGCGCTAAGCGTAAATGCCCGTTCGCAATGGATACCTACTTTAAAAAATACCATATAGCTTTTCCATTTATTATCCGATTTTGGAAATTTAAAGGTTATTTTGAAGAAAAATACTTGTTTAATCCAAATATCTAATTTATCTTTTAAAGGTGCAACGACGATTAAAAAATTATCTTGACGAAATTCGCGGTAAATTTACATTTTTTATATAAAAAGCAGGTATTTGAAATTTATTATTATGGTAACATAATAAATTCAATTTCAAAATAAAAAAGATGCCGATGGAAGTTATTCACAGATGATCAAAGATGCAATATTTAAGATGCATTGGGTTATGTAGTCAAATTTATTAACGCACAATTGTTTTAAGAGTAATGTATTGCGGGCTTTACAATTTGCTCAACACATGAAGAAAATTTATTCATTTTTTAGTACAAAATATTGCCGAGATTTGAATATTGCCACATTCATAGAATATTTAAATTTCATTCATCATTTATATCATTATTATTTTTTGTAAATCTATTTTCAAAAGTCGGTGCAGTGAAGTAGACAATCATCACAACAGTTTTAAAAGTACTCTCGTGTGGCTGTCTCGATTCCGGCCTTTTTATTATATATATTTTAATTATTCTTTTTATTTGAATGCCTGTAGAAAGATATTTCTGATATTTTTTAATGTAACGCTAGAAAAACAATAAAAATCTTTACAGTTTGAGTCAGTATTATGCGAAATGAAAGTAACTTTTGATTATTTTTTACACATCACTTAAATTTCTTTGAAGTTGAATTACTTTTGAAGGGGGTTAATTACCAGGTAACAAGTGATAATTGAAAAACTGTATTTTTGTATGTGCGCGGTCTTTAACTACAGTCCATGGTATGTGTGATAAGAAAATGATTCTGAAGAGGATATATATAAATACAATGTAAATCTATTTTCTTTATTAACATTTATAGATGAAATAGAAAATATACAACTAAATTTGTATAGCCCTTTCTTTGAAAAATAATGAAAATAAACATATGACAAATAAATCATTTGACGTGAATTGTAAAGGATAACTATGAAAAAAATCTGTTTCAAAGTAAAAAAAATATATTATAAAACAGCTGTTCTGTATGCCAATAAAAGTTTCTTCCTTGCCAATCTAATGAATTCATCTATACAGTGTAAGAAATTAGGATTTGAATCGACTAGGCTGGTCGGACTACCAGATTGGAATATTCACTGGTCCAAAAGACATTTTACTAGCACGATTCATTTGTTCAAAACAGTTGTTGATATTGCCTCTGAAAATACAGTAGCCTGGTCGGGCGTGTTACTGTGAAAAGTTGGTAGCCCGAGGAGAAATTTAGTAGTCAGGGGCTATCGGACTACTGCTAATTTCGAACACTGTCTATATATGAAGCAGAACGCTTGTCTAGAATGATCTGAAAATATATTTAATACACTAATTAGTAGAATATTTACTATATTTGTACTAATATACAGGTAATCAAATAAAAAATGTACAAATCATTTGGAAATAATTCACAGAAATAAAGACAAATTTCAAACATGAATTTCTTTAAAAGTTTTTAAGCAATCAAGAAACATTTTTTTTTTGCAATGCATCCATTAAACCATGTAAAAAAGAATTATCTTAATCTAAATTGCGGTAATAATTTGTGCTTGAAGTAAAAGGGCGTCAAAGTGTAGAGAGTATGCCTAAACAATAGGAAAATATTTTTATAATTAGGTACTTTTTTAACTAAGCTTTGCATCGTTCTATCGGCATATTTTCATATATTAATACTTTAGCGGCACAAAATAATACTGTATCAATACATTCATATGTGTATAATTTTTCACAAAGCTGCAATAACACCACATACTCTTGTGAAAATCTGTCATATTTGCACTCTGCACGTTCCGCCATCTCTCATTCTGTCCACCTTTATCCGGTGTGCGATTCCGCGCCAGCGCGCGAGGAGACTTTAAGCTAAATGAAAGTGTCCGATCCTTGTAATGTAAATCCGTGGTTATATATACATAGTGGGAAAGGAAAAAAAATGACAGAATCCACTGTGCTTCTAAATAGGGTAAAATCTAAATGAATAATTTGTTTGAGAAGCACTAATTGACATTTCCTTTGGTCTGCTGTAAGATTATTAATCACATTATTTACAATTAACTTTTTACCTTTTGAAAAAATAAAAGAATCCACAAATTCAAGAACCCATGAATTCACAAAACCATGAATTTTCATGCTCGTAAATTCACAGTATTTATCGGTAATAACTATATTATATATGGAAAAATAAGCCCAAATTTAACATATTTCACTGTCTCTTGTTGACTTGTAATATTATTTTTTTATTTTTAGAACAATATTAAAAATGCCTGAAAATCCTGACATTTGTAACCAGGGAAATGAGACTGGGTCTGTGTATTTTGTGTCCAACTGTGATGCTGAGATTGTTAGAAACAGTCTGACTACTGTGATTAGCCATGTGATCAAAGGTAATTACATGTTTTATTATTAATCTTAAGTACTGAGTTTTCTCTAATGTTTTGGTAACAACAATGTAAGGTTTTAACTGTTGCAAGTAAAATACATATTAAAAGATTCTACAAACAATCTTTAAAAGACATTTTAGGGGCTTGGAGTCAAAAAACTGTAACTTAAAGTTGCATAGGATATCTGTTTATATTTCTATAATAACTATATATATATAGTATATTTGGGGGCGGAGCGGGCATTTGGGTTTTACATCTCTCCAACCAAGTATCGGTCATGTGGAGACTTCTCAGCTTTACTAGTGGAGGAAGACCTCATGGGCCATTCCATGCATTATTGCACCTGAGTAGAACCACCGAAGGATAGCTTCCTCACATCAAAGAATTTAAAGACCATGTCAGAATTCAAACCCTCCACATTCATTAGAGAGTCAAGTTGTTTTAAGTCAACAACCTTAACCAATCGGCGACAGACGCTCTTATATTATAGTTATATCTAATCTATTATCATAAATATATGCCAAACTATCACATTGTTTGACCTTTATTCGGAATATTATAATTATTTAGACCAAACTTTTCATTATTAATACGAGGCGTGTAATTGAATTTTTCATGGTATCCTTTAGAGAAAATTGGTTTAAAAGGATGACCAAACAATCACTCCTACTTTAATAGGATAGGTGTGTCCATTATAAATAATAACAATACTGTATTCCTAGAAAAGATTTCGCGCATTTTAAGTTAGCGGTTTTCGCGGTAGGCATGATTCCGCGAATCTTTATAGCCGCGAATATGTCAGTTATAACAAATCCGCGAACATTTCTAGCTTCAACCAAATATAGCATAAAAAGTGCAGAATATTTATTATAATCTACTTACACAAAACAACATATAAACACAGGTGTTATAGAAATGTGTAAAGAATTATTTATGTATGTTATTGAAAACAATTATTAGTAATTAACATGCTTATTGGCGTTATTTGCTAGTAACGGCGTTGACAAACAAATTTACAGTTTGAGAACATTAAATGACTTGGATTTTATTTGCTTGGAGTAGGTGTAATCCTTTGTTAAAAGTACAATAGCAATCAAGTGCTACATTGATAAACAGCTGTTATGTTGTTATAATGAAAGCGATGTACAGTCCGATAATGTGTAAAAAAATACGTATCGACATTTTGAAGATAAAGTCAGTTATGATTCAAATGAGAATAAAAGCTAACGGGTCTGACTAAATCTTACTTAATAACATAATGAAAAAGGTAAGGAAATATGAATGTGTTCACGGAACAACCGTCCTTGTTCGACTAGTCAATAGATGAAAATGTATCGAGTAACGTTGCGCTTTAGGCGCGACTTGTCAAAAAAATAAAATAATTAAAAGCACCCAACAGACAAGGTCAAGCATAAAAAACGTAGCCTCCAAAAACTGTAATTTAGGCCGTAGCTACTTAACATTCGCGGAATTCGCGGTTACTACATATCCGCGAAAGTTTGTCTCCGCGAAAATGCCGACGTTGTGAAAATCGCGAAATATTGTATCCGCGAACATTTCTAGGAATACAGTAATTATTCTTAATCTTGCAGAAAGTTTTATGAATGTTTAAAAACATCAGTATCTGTCATCACATGTTTTGCTTTCAAATTATAGGTAACAAATATCCTGTTGTCATAAGCAGTAAGCGTCATCTGACAGCTCTGTCCAGTATCCAAGGTTACCATCAGTACTTCATATCACTGTGTAGAAAGCTGAACCTACTACCTAATGATAGAGTGACCCTCATATCTCCTATGGATCAGTTGATAGCTATACAGTTGTGCCTTGCTGAAAAGAGTAAAGAGGTACGGCAATATAATTATTTCTTATTTTTACATGGTTTCCTTACTTATTTAACAATGACAAAATTCTTATGTGTATAAAGTATACGATCCATGAACATTGGAAAAAAGGAAACATTTTGACATGTCATAGGACGTCATGCATAATGACGTCGATTAACCAAACAATGTCAGGTAAATTTCTTCTCTGTTGATTGTATAGTCACAACCAACACAGGCCAAAAGTCAAGAGCTATGCCTATAGCTGTATAATTTGATGTTTAGATAAATTTGTGTATGTAGTATGTTGTTATGATACATATAAAATGTCTTTTGAGCATACATATGTGTATTAAGTGTCATGTGATGTCACATTTTTATCAAAATTCTAATTTTCTAGGAAACCGGAGATTTTGATGTCGAGACCAGTATTGTACTGCAAGCAGTAAAGGATATTACAAATAAAAAACTGCTGAGTCAGTATGACATCACTTCCTGTAGCAAGGATTCTGGGATATGTGAGCTGTATGACAAGTTCCTGAAAGACTGTAACTACCTAGATGGTTGTGATGTGTACAATGTGTTGAAAAAAGAGATGAGTAAAAACGAGGAGTTACAAAAGCTGATCAAGGAACAAAGTTTTTTGATTCTGGATCCACCTAAGTCAATCTTGGAGGTATTTTGATTTCATATTCTGGTGATTTTTCACCTTATATAACAAAGACCTATTAAAGGCCTCTTCCCAATTAAAATTTTCTTTAAAATCATGCAGTTTTCCCATCAACTTAAATCAGCATTTTACTTCCCAAATAAGCAATTTTAGCGATAATTTTTCACAAAATCAAGAGGCTAAGGCATTTTTCCATTTAAATGAGAAAAATCACTGTATTCATATAGCATACATATCATTAATTTTATTTTGACTAAACAGGTGACAGTTTTTATGCCTAAAATAAATAATATTACAGCACTGTATAGTGTACCTTACTTAGGTCTTCCTTCACAAGTATATGCTAGAAATTAACCATTTATGATTTAAAAGTGTGAGATTGGGGCTTTAAAACCTTGCCATGCTAAATATATTAGATAGGCTTGTGCATATTTCAATCAAGGCAAAATCATTCATTATTTTTAGGGAAATTTTTGAAATATGTACTGACTGAATAGCAAACTGTGCCGACCATTATAAGGTAGGACAGATGGTCCTGGTATGCATTGATCAAATAGAGTAAGGTAGATCAAGATGCTGCCAGCAGGCTTAAGGTTAAAATTAGTAATTTTACATGAAAAAGAGGCACATTATGCTTCAGAAATCCATATTTGTTAATTCTTCAGAAATCTTTAAGTTGAAACATGTGTTTGATAATGTTTTAATAATGGATTAAAAGCATGTTATATGTTTAACAACTGAAGAAAGTAGGCTGAACATGCAGTAATGTGTCATTAAGGTAGCAAAATGTAAACACAGTAGTATTTTGACTTCCGTTCAAAATACCAATTCACTAGTTATATCAATTGCAAAAGAAGCAAAAGTTAGTTCATCTATGTGGCAAATGAGTTAGGTTTTTTTGTTTTTTTTTTGAAACTCTAACAAATTACTAAAAATTAAAAGTTTTTGAGAAATAAAAATGAAAGCATTTCTGAGGCATAATCGGCCTTTAATCTATTATTTGTTATACTCCTTTTAAGTCGAATAGTAAAAAGTTTGTATTTGTTTCTTACGTTGCAGAGAAAGATGGTAGAATTTCTTGCTGAAAACAAAGATGTTAAATCAGTAACTGTTGAAGTGCCTCTAGACTGTGAGGAGAATATTTCTGTTACTGTTGACAACAGTTGCTTAGCAACTGTGCTAGATGTAAATGTTCCATTGAGCACAGTAAAGAAAGCACCATCAATAACAGAGGTTAGTGTTGAGTTCAACAGAAAAATTATATTGAATTATTCACTATGTTAATGTTGTATTTTTGATGTAGTCGTCTGACAAAAATGGTAAAGGTTAAGAGGTTAATACACGGCAGAGTAGGGCCGGAAGGTGATAATCAGCCCGCAAAATGAATAATGGCCCTGAGTGCTTCAGTCTGAGGGCATTATTTATTTTAGGACCAATAATCACCCTCTGGCCCATCTATGACGTGCATCAATGTCTTTAAATACACTTGATTGGTCTCAAATTTACTATGATATTTCTTTCATTGAAATTCTTATCTCTGTACAAGATCTATACTGTACAGTAAGTTCTACAGAATTGCTTCCCTTATGTATATGCAGCAGAATCAGAAGCATGATTTATTTTCAAGGAATGAAATTGTAGCTAGTATTTTTTTTCTTTAAATTTCAATAAAGCTATGTTTGTAGAAATTACGTTTAGTTCAGTTAAAAAATCAAGCTATTCATGCTTCAATCCTACTTTCACTTTTACAGCCAGCTGATTTGATGACGTAAAATGTGGCGTCATTGTTTCAGTTTGTGCACGTACTCGTGTTCAGCGGGCCGATTATGATTATAAAATATTGGCCACTTGCCGCAAACTGATAATTGATCACATGACACTCATAATCAGCTGAAATCATAGGCAGTTTTGTTACTATTACTCATACTATATATAGTAACAAGTGTATTAAACATTTATTACAGTACTGTCACATTCAAGGACATTATAGCACATATTGTTACAATGTTACTATATCTAAATATAACCCTTTAAAAATAACTTCAAACACTTTTTGTTCATAACCAAAAAAAAAGCAGCTCACTTTTGATATTTAGGTCCTTTAAACTTTTTATATACTCTTCAAAACAGGGCAAATACATTTACAAATTTAATAAGTTGAAGATTGCATTTATATGTTTTTAACGTGATGTGTCTCTCATCAGTTATGATAAATCATATGGTATGCTATTCTTCAGGCTTATGTACGTCTGGTGTTCCTGTCCTACCTTGAACTTATTGTGAATTCAAGATCAGAACTTGCTTTGGCTAGAGTATTCAATGTTCCAGAAAGGGAGTTAACTCATTCAGCCTTCACTGCTGTTAAACATGAATCAAGGCAAAAGAAAATGACAATGTATCAGGTAGGTTCTTTATAAATATTTTCTTGTTTAACTGAGCTGCATAATATCATACATCAGCATGGGTTTCGTCCAAATTTTAGGAAAGGCATTGACTGAACTCAACTGGGGAAAGTCACTAAATTTAACTTGACATCTTTTCATCTACATTTTTCCTGATCCGCCTCTAAATTTGTGATCTATTTCAATAGTCTCAAATTTCTTTCTACCCAGATCAACAAATCTGGAGGGCATATTGTTTTGGTTTGTGTGTTTGTTTGTCTGTCTGTTTCTGATGATGATGATTTTTAGTTTTATTTTAGCTGTGCGCCTGAAATTCCATATGTTCAAGATCTCAGCGTTTACTAGTATGCCAGTCCACTCTAGAAGTCTCATTTTCATGCTTATCTTCCTTAACCTGTTCTTTGTTTGTTTGAGGAAAGACTATAATGACAAATCACCACATTCCGTGACGGCAGAAAACAGGCAGCAAACATAAAACGGCTCTTGTTAGCGCCACCCTCCCAAATTAGTCACAACAGATCAACCAATCGTCTCTGGTACTTGACACAACTTGACCTTGACCTTATGTGTGCCTTCTTCGCTACATGCTCACCTGGGGAGGGATTTGGAGAAGTTGTCTGTTTCAATTTGTCACAAAACTTTTATCTTGATCATAACATGGAAGCCTTCCCACCCTGACCTCCAAATTCACTGGTGCATGCACTTTCATGAGCTCTAAACGTCAAACCCTGTAATTGGTCACATGGTCCATTGTCTAGGTCATCAGGGACAAGGTTGTTGGAGTTGGGATATGACTTCTTGTATTAAGAATGTGTCATTTTACAAGTTTCATACCACTTACTTTATTATAAGGAAAGAAAATCCTGTAGCATCTTTGTTTCAGATGCATTTTATAGAGAAGTACCTGAGATGTTACACAATTAAAATCTACAACGATAAAAGCATTTTAACACAAGTTCATATTCTTCATGACCCTCTTACACTTGCTTACATTTGGCTACTGACATTCTGATTTTGCAAACCAAATTTTGGGAAAATGACAGTTGCGATTTGCAACCATATGGTAAAGAGGAGACTAAACTGAAATTCCTTTTAAACATTAACATTGTCCTGTTTGTTCAGGTACCATTTATATAATACTAAACATTCTCATCAATGTTATCTGGGTCTGCTATTATTTTTTTAGAGGATTTTTATTAATAGATTGGAAAAAACATACTATTGATTTTAATAGGAGAATGTGGTCAAATATAGGTCCTTAATGTTGCCAAACAAGGCAAGCCTTAAGATCTTTGTTGTTTCCCCACCTGCAACCTATGCAAACTAGCATGGATAAGGTAGGTAGGTTCATAATTTTTTTTTTTTTTTTAATCCAAAATATTTTATTTTCTATCTATCAAAATTATATGGAGTTCAAAACAGAAAGTGAATGTTTAGCATCTGTTAAGATAAACCATATTTTCAGTTTTAACAACATAAATCCCAGTTTGTATATTTACAATTAAACATGAGACAGATACACTTTCTGCTTCCATGTTTTGTTCTCTTTTTTTTTGCAAGGCAAAAATATTTTTTGGGTATCTGTGACTTTCGTTGGTTGAGGTAGCGGGAGGGGAAACAAATAATATTTTGTTTTAGGCTCAAGAGCTTTGATGCATGAAGAGAAAAATATGCATATGCCTTTTCATTTACATGTAGTTCCTGCAATTCTTAGAAACTGCTCTGGCAAATATTTTGTTATTTTAAAATAAAATCACTGGCAGTGAAAGGGTTACTTTTGATTATTTTTTTGAAAATAAAATTGACAATTTCAGTCATTATCATATTTTATTTGCATGCAGTAAAAATGACAGTCAAGATTTTATTTGTTTTTTCATAATTTTTATTCTTTTAAAAGAGATATTGAAAACATGCATTTACTTTACAAATTAAACAAGAAAATATCCCTCATGAAGTTGTGTATAATAATGATAATGGACATACAGGGTTGTCATAGAAAATTTCTGAGACATTTTGTTTTGAATTTGAGGCAGCCATTTTATGCATTATGTCATACAACATAAGGGTGTTTCCAAAGTTATTTTGGCAGCCCACATTTGAGACAGTCATTTAAGCTAACAGCAGCCCCCCTAATGACAACCTTGGTCATCAATTATATTTTCATACATTGTATTTCATAAAATTGTATTGTAAAACATAAGGTATTTGAGAAACACAAGGCTGACAAAATTTTGTTTGAAAACAATAAATAATTAATGAAGCTTATGTTATTTTTGGTTATTTTTGTCTATAAATCAAACAGATGTCTTGGCACAGGTTGCAGCTCATTGTAAACACATCTAGAAGTACAATATGTGCTTATTGGCAATTGTTGATGTTAATAAACAGTTAATATTGTTATTAAACGGTATAAAGCTATATGAAGCTGTCATTGATTCAGTGCAAAACATGTCAACGATATATATCGATATCGGATAACGAATATCAACATTACACCAATATATATCGATAATTACCTAAAAATACTTGTCTGTCATACTCTTTCATGCCTGCAGTAAAATACATGTTCTGTTCAGTGTCTTGTTTATAAATACCCATTGCATGATTTTTTTCTTGACCATTATTTTGTCATCATTGCTACGAGTATGAAATATTTCTACTTTCTAACAAAAGCATAGTATTTGACACGGACACATACTTTTCTATATGTTTTGGGTGAATTTTGTTGTGAGTTGTTTAATATGATTATGCTGTAATTTAACAACACTTATGAAAACTGTGTGCAGGTGGCACAGATACAGCTTTATACACTGTAATACTCAATATGTAAAAATTATGAAAACTGACTATTTCATTTGTGAGTTATATGGGTTTCAATATAAAATAATTGCTCAAATTTAGCAAGCACTTGAAAAGTGTTATCCGACTTCAGAGTTATAGAGATTCCATTGAGTTATAGAAAAAAAGCAAAAAAAAATGTAAACAGTATTGTTTCCAAATAACATCCCCTTCCTGATTAGCGCCCCTACCACATTTTGTAGAAGAAATTTAAGTTATCTTACAGTATGTAACTAAATTTAATCCATTAAGTGACAGAGCAAAAAGAGAAAAAAATCAACAGAAGAAGACCCATTTTATTCAAATTTGCTACTGAATAACACAACGTCACAAGTTCATAAACTTGTATAATTTTTTATAGATAATATGTTATTACTACACTATTTTATATACTGTAGATAGTTCCTGATTTTTTAAAATACTCAATTATCTCCCTTGTCAAACATCGCAGCCATTTTAAGGGGTTAATATTCTATATAATATAATTGAAGAAATATGAGAGGCAAAATAAGCAGCTTTTTTAGAAGAATTTTCAAATTCTTTTATTGGTATATGGAGGAAAATATAATAGCATCAAAAAGTCACCAATATCTAAAAGATTTTTATTGTGTTGCATGAAGAATATAGAATTGCGAGACATTTCATCTTAAGCATAAAAAAGTTTAGAAATAACCCCCAATATGGTGTCTAAAACATGAAAAACATCAATATTATACTATATACAATTTACATGTAAATTATAACACACAGGAATACAGGGAAATGGAAATGGTCTCTCTCTACCAATGATCAGTCTTGCCAAGATACATTAAATGTAATCTTGGGCCATGTTATTGGTAAAGTTTGGTGTTAACATTTAAAAAGCTGATTGATTCCAGATGAGGAAAAAAATTTCAAGGCAATCAAATTGAAAAAAAAGAAGTTTTTGATAGTTTAAGAAATAAGTTAATATGTAAACAGTATAAATATATACATATTGATAGTTTAAGAAAATAAGTTATTGTGTATAAATATAATACAATACATGTGACCGAGATATGTTGTGGAAAGATTGTTTGAATTTACAATATTTAATAACGTTCCCACTCTTGCTTCTATTGATACAAAAAAAGGACGTTCCCTAGAATAGTAGATTGGAAGTGTTTTAGGCAAGCTTAAATTGCTATTTTGTTGTGTACTCTTCACAGAGATTATCTAATTAGAGCAGTTCTTGAAATGTAAATAAAATTAGCATGAATTTGTATGCATCTAGCTGCCTTAAAGGATCGTCACAGTGTCTCCTGTTTACTTTTTATCTTTGAATGACCTTCTTGTTTGACTTCAGTTTAATAACTTGGATGTGGTTTTTCGATTCATGACCAATGACGAGTGTCAGATCATTCCATCTCATTGACATCATTTGTGGGTGTCTGCATTGTTTCGTCCAAATTTTAAATATGTCGTCGCCTTTCCATAGGTTCTGTGTGTTTCTAAGGTCAAGGACACATACAAGGTTCATTTTTCTGCTCGAGCACACGATACAGTCACCATTGTCATCAACGAGCACTTTTCTGGGCTCTTGAATGGCATAGTGTTTGAATTTTGATAACAACTGACCTTCAAAGGTGTAGCAAGAAAGTGTCGATTTTCCATCTGAGACGTAAATATAAGCTTTGTCTTTATCTTGATGTGACGATACATAGAAATATGACTCATTCGTGACCTTGGTTGTGATAGTAAAAGATTTAACCATTTTTCCGTCCAGTTTCCTTACCTCTATATAGGCTGTGCTGGTGTCTTGGTAGGTGATAATAAGGTTCCGATCATGTACGCATATTCCCCAACAAACTCCATGTAAACTTAAAGATTCAGCTGGTATCAGTTTCCCAGAATCTGCTATGATATACAGCAGTTTCTTAGATTCAGGAAGGGTGACGGCTATTTTATTAGCGTCAATCAGTGCCACACCCCATGGCTTGGTCTCGAGTTGAAGTTTGTCAATAACTCTGAAGTTCTTCTCGTGTAACAGAATCACCGTGGAATTAGCAAAGTCGCAAACTACAAGTTGATTGTTTGGTAAGAACACAGAGTCTGTGATGTTGCAAGCTATACCTTCCTCTTCTCCTTTGATCGGAATCAAAAATTTCTTTCTCAATTTTAGATTTTTGAAGCTTCGCTCATTCTCCGTGTAGAGATTATTTTGTATACATGTTGATGCTGATAATTGCAGGCTTGAAGGTTTTTCTTGACACTGATCCACTTGTGCTTTTCCTTTTTTGTCTGGAGCTGATTCGTCCCTTTAAATTTTGCTCTTTTTTCAATTTATTTTTATTGATAAAATTTTTGGGAATGCGGGATATTCACCTAAATTAGGGAAATTTTTGAAGTAAACTTTTCACATGAACCCTTTTTTTTAAAAGTGGGAATACTCTTTTCAAATTTAAAGGGTTGGGTTTGGGTTTTTGGGCTCTGAAACAAAAACTGCCAAATTTTCACTTGACTGATCATTTTGTTGCAAGTGCTCACCAAGAGAAAGTATGTTATTTGCTGCCTCAGTGTAGATTGCCATATTCTCTATCAGGTCTTCATTTAAAGACATGTGTTGCAATTCAGCCGAATCTACCTCCTTCTCTAAAATATCAAAGAATTCTAACATTTGTTCACGCATCACATTTAGTTGTGCTTTACATTTCTGACCGACTCCTTTGATTGCATTGATTCTTTCATTATTTGATATTTTCAGCCCGTCAAACTCCATCTTTTTATTTTCATTGTCGTGGATGATGAGTTTTAAGTTTTTGTGACAGTTTCCTGCATAAATCTGTTTATTTTGATGACAGTCACACGTCGAGTATTGTACATCTTCGCACTGTCCTAAACGCTTGAATTCATGATTACGAGAGGTAAATTGTTCTTTTTTTTTCCCAAGCTTACTGTTATGAAGTAATGGCTGTCCTTGTGGATATTCCATTTTTCTTTCCGGTCCCAAGTCGCCAGTGAAAATATGATGATTCCTGAAAGCTCCAAATTTTCTATGCGACTTCAAACATTGTTTGCATATGTATTCCTTGCAGTTATAGCAATACCCTTCTGCAATGGTTTGTAAATTATCATACTGACATGGATCACAGTTAATGTCACAATTTCCTGATTGAAGACAATCCTCTGATGTAAGACAGTGATTTTTCACTAAAGTCGCTTCTATATTAGTAACACTGCCGGCCATCCTTGAATAAATGTACATTAAATGTTAGTTTTTAAAATAAATTCTTTGCAGTTTAATTTGTGTAAATAAATAGTTTTCAGTTTTACACTCTGCCAGCCTGCTATAAACACTGATATATTCTTACTACGTTGTTTAATATCTGTATAAGACATTGGCTGGTCTCGTATCTATATTAGTTCATGTTATATTGACATTTATGGCAGTGCACTTAGCTGTCTTATTATTGCAAACTATAATTGTTCAAGTACAAGAAAACTAGTGCAGCACACATGTTGTTTGAGATCAATATGACATTGTCTTTATTTCAAATTGTGCACTTCAATATTTCAGCTAGGCAATTTAAATTAAATCACCTTATTGATTTTTACAGTACAAATTTCATTATTGTGTTCATTTAATTTATAATTTACTGTTACATGGGTTTTAGCATTTTTTCATTTTTTTAAATTTTTAGTGAAACACTAGGTTTTTTCTTATAAAATTCACTGTTTCTGGGTTATCTAGTAGATCATGTTCCAAAAGTACTGAAAAATATCCCTAAATTTTGTTTGGTATTATAGAGACATTATGTTCATTTTTTTGCTGTCAAGTTTAAAGTTGAATTAGAACTAATTGTTTCAAAAGATTGACTTTTATAATCACTGTTGTACAGCGTCCACCAGATATAGCCCCTAAAAACAACAAAAACGAAAAATCGATGAAGTTATGATGAAGAAATAAGTTAAAACATTACCTTAGGTGTACTCAGTGTGAAGCTTTCTACTTTTGTTTTCGGTGTTTTTAGGGGCTATATCCGGTGAAAGCTGTACAACAGTGATAATGGTGATTAACCAATTATTCAAATGAAAGATGTTTAATCATTAATTAAATATAACTATATGATTTATAAAAAGACTGCCAGAAATGTTTGAGTCACATGGCTTATTGATTAATTTTACATAGCAAAATATAAGATTAAACATAATTATGAGAAATGAAAATTTATTTTGACTTTTAGCTGTGACTGCTCATTTACACTTGAATGAACATAATGTCACTTTAACTTGTGTTAATATATATTTTTAAAGTGTTATCCTGTCAAATTTAAAAAAAAATATTTTTTTTATCAATTGCTATAACTGGCAATAACTTTATGGGTGGATTGTCTTCATATACAACAGCCTTGAGAAAAAGACATTCAACAAGACAAAATTGCATAAATTTGACCTTCACTCATTAAAAAAAAACCATGACCTTGTATGTCAAAGTATTGAATGTTTATTATAACTTTGTGATTAATGAATGGATTGCCACAAATAACAACTTTAGGACTCTTTAATTTAACTTGACTTTGACTTTTGTAATGTAACCTTGAAGGTCATATAATTGAAATTTGCTAAAATTTGCCCCAAATTTGTTATTTATTTATGGATTTGATTCATGCATTGTCAAAATGACCCCTACGTGTATGTTTTATAATTAAGATATTACCTTTACTGTAAAGTGGTATTAACAATCAAGGTCAAATTATTTAATCAAGCTGGAAAAAAATCATGAATTTGAAATTTTCAGATTCAATTCATGCTGAATAAATTTAAATTATCAACTTTTATGAAAACACCATGTTGAATTATGAGTTCCAAGTATCACCTTGTGTGAAGGTCAAATATAAAATATTTGTTCCTACTGTACAATGTGAATAAGAAAAAGTCCAGCGTGGCCATGTTGTGGAGCTCTTCTATTTGAAGGATAGGAAGAGCTATTGTACTCAACTCTGCATCGGCATTGCCATCACATTTTGGTTAAGTTTAATTTTGCATGCAAGCTGATATCTCCAGAACAACTGCAAGTAATGGGTTGAAACATCATACTGTCACATAAATGTTTTCTGCGATTATCTTATGTAATAGGGCAAAGATCTCTTAACTATGAGTTACATTTTTACCGAGAAATGCCACAATTCTTACTGTCAAGCACTGGGAATAGACAAATGGCTGTCTTACAGACTGCTCTTGTTTTGATAGTAATTAAATGGGCTGTTCCTGATTCGAAGCATGGCAAATCCATAAAATTCAGCAGGTCATGGGATAAAAGTAGTTTAACACAGGTGTTTCTTTTCCAGACTGCCACATCATTTATTATGAAGATAAGACTTGGTGGAAAGGGTTATGCCCCGGACTGCAACAACCCCCTGGGAGCCCATGTGAAGGGTATTGGAGAATTTGTATCTCTCATGCATAGGATGGAGACTGTCATAGAGGAGGACCCTGATATCAGGTAAATTATCCCCTTTTCGTCTGTTTTGGCCTCGATTCCAAATGGTGTAACTGCAAACGGATATTTTTTTTCAGGAGGCATGAAGATTAGTATCCAGTTTTTAGAAAAATTTAGATCTATCTATCATGATTTTCTTTACTTTAAACATCTCTTCCAAGTCTGCTTCCTTGTTAACTAAGCAAACATTACTTGTGTCATATGAAGAAACATGGTTGTGACTCAATTAGGACTCAAACCCATGATCCCAGGATTGAAAGGCATACACCTTAACCACTAGGCCATCGCTCCCCTTAATGATTTTCTTTTGTAATGTTACTTGATCGGGATAATTTATTGTAATAAAAACAAATCACTGCTTCCAGCAGGGAAGATGTTTTGTTTACAAACCTAAAACTTTTGTGCATGCATTTTTTATGCAGTTTGGTTAAAGCCATTATTGGCAGTACTAATTTTTCCTCAACATTGTTTTAGATAATTCATGTAGAAGTTGCAACTTTCAGAAAAATAAGTTAATTTAAACAAAGTCAGAGTAACGCCTGTCTGTTTATGTCTGAACTATTTTTGCAACAGATGCAAAAACATAAATTCACTTACTTTACTTTATTGTAAATATTTGTAAATATGATGTAGACGTAGAACACAATAATGTTTACATAAATCAGTGGTACCATTATGATATGATGGGTTGTTCAAGTTCTTCAATTTTGTGCATTTTCATTGCAATATAGGAGAATAAAATGTGGATATAGACACGTAAATCTGAGTAGCATAGTGGTTAGAGAGTTCAGATTATGAAGATCTCAGATTATGGACATGGTTTTTTTGAGTTCAAATCTCTTATCTCTGTGCACATTTCTTGAGTACGGTTTTTACTTTCAGAATATATTTATAGTGCGTCCCATAACTTTTTGTTTTCTCTTTTATAATGTTTTGCTTTGCACAATTTAAAGTTAAACTTATGACAGTTAAGCAAAAATGAATGTATTTGATTTTTAACTGTCATTGAATGGAATAAAACAGTATTATCAACTTTATTCTGTTTGACACTCCATTCCGTTTAACTCCATTCCCCACATTTTTAATAATTTTGGCTCATTTGTATATACTGTTTATATGTTCTTCTATTGCTCATTTATCACTCTTAAATCACAACTGTGTTGTCTTACACTTAACCTATTGAATGCAAATGTGTTTTAACTAAATGAGCTCAAATAACATTGTGTGAATGTTATTCATGGGGAACTAAAATCAAGTTAGTTGTAAAAAGAAACAAACAAAAAAAGGAAAAAAAAAAAATGCCTTTTGCAGGATTTGAACCAGGGTTCTACACTCACAGGGCTAACACCCTACCACTACGCCATTATGCTTAACGCATAGAAAATGAGTGATTAGGTGGTAAAAGATTTTGGCGATAATTATATTGTAGTATGCTTTTATATAAGAATTTTTAACAATTTGTCAATATTGATGTAAACAGATAATGAAAGGAATAGAGAATTCGAGCTGTACATGTAAATGCAAGATTTGCTTCCCTTTGACCTGTATTTTAAGATTAACAATACTACTGTTTTGGAAATAACAGAGACATTCTATGCTAGAACTCTGATTAGAAGCATTGAACTGTAAAATTATGGAAACAGTACAGTTTTTCTGTTAAAAAATTTAATAAAAAAAATTAGAATTTTAGTGATGTCAAACATGTAGGCTTCCCAATAAAGTCTTAAGCAATTTTTTTTCTATATTATATGAAATGCAAACTAAAGTATTTTCAGGATTTTTAAATATGGTATCCAACTTATACATATGGTTTTATATTTTTGTTTATATCACTTTAATCTTGATAAGCGAATGAAACCGAAATTGAGTGGTCTTTGCCTGAGTTTAGAGCCATGTCAGTCTGCAATATGAGAAAGCAAATATATTGTTGGCAGTTCAAGTTTTTTTGTAGCTTTATATAAAAAATTTCGATCTCCAAATGGACTATTCCAAATTCAAAGCAGGGCAAATCCATTTAACAAATTAATTAAAAGATTATGGGTTAACACATACATGGTATTTGTGCTACAATTTTGCCTAAATCATGAATCATGTATATATATACAAAAAAAAGAAAAATAAGTGCCAGGAAAAAAAAAAAGTTTTGCCCTGATGATCATAAAAAAAACTGGTTGTCAAATCATTAAATTGTCATTAAACACATGGACTGAGTCTTTTTATTTGTTTGTTTGTTATTTTTGTTTGTTTGTTTGTTTTCGTTTTTTTTTTAAATATATTTATATATATTTATATATTCAGATCAGCCTGTAGGAGGACGGTGAACATTCTGAAGCGAGAGATGTTGAAGTGTAGGGACAGCAAAATACGGAACTCGAATGTCGAGTCCGTGTCCCAATTACTTCATGCACAGATAGCGGACATCATTGATGAGCTAGATAAAAACATTGTTGTAACACCTGATAAGGTAAACAAGATTCTCAGTGTTTTATAAAATCTTATGTCATGGTGAATTAAAACAGCTTGCTTTGACAGAAATTGCTTAATGATAAATAGATTTAAGTTTATTTTTTGGATAAAAACATAATATGTTTGTGGAGATTTTTTAAATATCCAAGGTTGTGCCGTTGTTTATCCTAAATTATCTTTTTATACTGAGGCCCAAATGGGTAAGATCTTGATCGTGTAGAAAATGTTAAAGTACCAGAAAAAAAACGAACCATTATTATGTTTATTACACATGAAAAGAGCAATTAAGTTTTGTAAATTTTAAGATATAAATGCTGCTCATAATGCTGAAATGTTAAAAAAAGAAGACGTTTTGCTGTTATATAAATGGTGTTTTTCATATAATAAAAAAACGTATTACAGAGATCCATTTTTAAGAATTTTCAAGAGTGAATTGAGAATTTTTAACTAAGGTATGTTGTCAATAGGGAAAAAAGACCTTTATTAAGGTTCTATTTTCTGAAAAAATAAGTATTTAAAAAAAAAAAACATGAAAAAAAACACGGCCAATATTGATGTAGGTTTACTATTTTCAGGGTAAAATTTATCAAAATGGCCTGATTCAGTGGCATGATAACGTAAAAATATCATGCTTTTTGTTCCTTCAAAAATTATGTATTGTTGACTTCCTTAATTGTTTCATTGTAACTTAAATTCTTCAGCTTGCATATATTGAAATTCTCGTAAATGAATATCAAGGGAGGTAATGACGGCCCTCATTTGTTCATTTTTACAACCAAGGGAAGTAAGAAGCGTATAAACGTGAAAGATGACTTTGTTAGTTTTTTTTCTAGCGTTAATCACTGTCAACCTGTTTATCCCGGTCACTATGTTAGTAGGTAAAACTTCACTCATGTGAAATAATCTTCATTATTATTTTTTTTAAGAACCTGTCATACTTTTACATGACAAATTCTAGATTTCATAGAAATTAGTTGTCTGTGACAAAGACCTTGCCCCTACGATATTTCATTCTGTTCAGTTTCTTGACATATTTATACGTTTATGAGTAAGTCACTTGTAAATACAATGTAAGTCATTAATTTAAAAGTGCGTTAAGTACTAACAATGGGAATTTATACTGGGTTTATTTTTAATTTTATTATGTTTGTAGACAAAAACACAGCTGACATTGAAAGACATCTGATTATGTTAAACCCTAAGCTGACTGAATTTATGAAATGGATTACATATATAAATTTTAGATTTGAATTGTTCATTGTAAACTTTTACCCTGCCTGAACCGCCTTTAACCCCCACCCCCAGTATAGAGCAGGCCAGCCTACATAGCCATACAGTCTGGCCAGGCTCTGTAATATTGGTTAATTAAATTCAAATTTTTATCTTGATACCCCTAAAATTAATAATGGACAGTTCCAAAAAAGGAATCTGGGCAAGTACATTGAAGAAATTAAGCAAGTTAAGGGGTTTATTTTTAGCAAATTTTTTTAATTCAAAAGTTATAGACCTGTAGGCAGCAGTTCAGAGCCTGGTAAGACTGCATAAAGGTCTTAGAGTTCGTAAGATCGCTAGCGATTTTGGTTCAAACCCCGTCAGGGGCACAACGTTATTTCCTTCAGCTCTCATTGCAAAGTACTGCTTGGTTGATATCTTTGTCTGCATACAAATTATTCATTATTGAAAACAAAGTTGCCATTAAAAAGTCATCTGAACCATCTGTGTATATACAAATATACAAATATTGGTAACTGATTTATTTAAACAGATGTGCTAAAGTAAGATACATTGTATATGTTTTGTATTTGTTTAAAGCAGCATGCCTCCAGATTCATATATTATGTATCAGTTTAAAGCAGCATGCCTTCAGATTCATAAAAAAGTTTAAGATGTATTTAAAAGTAGAATATTATCTATTGAACAAAGAAAGTAATCTACACATTCCAAACGGCCCAAAAAATCAACGAAAATTACTAAAAATTAGGTAAGGATAATGCAAAAATAGCCCTTTAATACTTTAATATCAGTCATTTATTACATATTATGAATGTTATTTCTTGAATTGTGAATATTTTTACATTTTTTAAAATATAAGAACATTTTGCTCAAGGTTGATTTTCTTAAAATATTTGGGCACATTTGGAGGCATGCAGCTTTAATTTTTGAATTACATAAAATTGATGTATTTATATTTATGGCCCTAATCAGGGCCATCATTTTTCTGTTTTGAAGGCCAAATATGGTCTCATTCACCCTTTTCCTCCCCACAACCCCACCCACCAACCTCCACTTCTTACAACCCCACTCCCTCCCCAAATGTAAAATGGAACTTATGCAAAATCAGCATGAAACAATTATGACTTTACATGATATTATTAAAGATAATATTAAATACAAGAACCAATTAAGCAGTCAGAAATGATACAAAATGTTGTAAATTTAAAATAACCAATAATAATATTGTAGGATAGATGATTTAATATTTTGTCACCTTAGTACAGTAAGGGGTCGGTATTCCCAATACAATTCAGTAGGAGTTAACCATTTACTGCATTCAGGTGATAATTTCACTAAATTCTCTTGAAATATCATGAAATTGTTCAGACCCCAATAAATATGCTAATTGTGTCTTGGATATATTTATTTTAGCAATTATATGTCATATAAAAAAATGGAAAATTTGATGAAAAAAAAAATTAGAGACAGTTATGTAAATGTTTCAGACTGCAGCTAATGGAGGTTCTCTAACCAGTCGACGGGCTCGGAAAGCGCTGCGTCAACTGTTAGATAAACTTGCGACGGTAGATGATGACATGTCATCACTGGATCACCTGACAGACATTTACTCGAGCCAGCGCACGCCACTCAGATTTCCTTCCGTTATCTCACAATTCAGGTAGAAATTTAATTACATACAAAGGATGTTTACTAAACACACGCAATAATGCAGACCAGTCATTTAGGCCCATATTCTGAAAGAGTTGACATGGATTAAAGTTGGATTTTAGAATTTATTCAGAATTTAAGGAATTTTCTATCCCTTTTTTTCTGATTTTTTTTATATACTTAATTAAGCGTTATTTTTTCCCCAAGTATAGCAATTTAACATTCAAAATAGGTATATGTACTTTGATAATTTTTTTATGGTTGTGTTGGTGCAATGTAAAACCCACACACACAAAAAATAGAATAAAAAATAAAGAATGGATTTGTAATTTGCAAATGAGCTGTGTAAAAAAAATAATTTTTTGTGTTGCATGAAACCCACAGGTGTTCTCATCAGCCCAATTTTTTTCTATTATTATGCATTGAATCAGTGATTTGGCAGACATTTTTTCCATCAGTGATTTGGCAGACACTTTTCCAAACAAAGAATTGACATTTTACAGTTGCAGTATAATCATCTTTGACCTATTACTTAGACAAAAAGCATCACAGGACTTGCATTTTAAATTTGAGTGTGGGAGTTTTTATTTACTGCCTTATAACTTTCCACGTAGAGCCACTGACATTTTATCCCCCCTTTACGTCATTAGTCACATGACCTATGCCATCATACTGAGAAGACCACTTCCTTGTCTAAAACAAAGAAAAGAAAATGTTTATGAGTAAACAAGATTAAGTTGAGGCAAATTATAAATGTCATGAATAAATTGTCCGATTTTCTCGTTGGTTGACTCAGTTGACCTTTATTCCACCACAGTTTTACAAAAACATGGTCCCTATAAGAAACAGAACAGAGATTGCTTATAATATACAGTACAAACTCCACAAAGGTAAAATCTAACGTGAAAATCTGGAAACAAAGTGATCCCTCGGAAGCATTAATCACAACAAAATTACATGAAAATTGCAGACCCGGTTTGATTGAAGACTCACTGTAGGAAAAATTGAATTGGTTGCTATAAAGAGGTTATTGCTGTACAGAGGGGCCAGCCTATGGAGGTTGCACTGTATATAGCATGACTGATACATGTATTACTGATACATATATATTATGCTGATTTTCGTTAACTTTTTGAGTGACCATGCTTTTTATATGGTGATATAAACCTGTTTATTTATAGTAAAACTATCGTAGTACTAGAAGCTTTTTCTAGCTTACTGTTTTATTAAAGGTTAATGCTTTTGTTTTACTTCTTCAGATTATTGCCTGTGCATAAATATGTTTTTTGCACCTAAGGTCATCCACTTTACAAAGCTAGTATTTCATCATATGATAAGTATCACTCCCTTCAACACTGTTACATACTGTATGTTACAGGGAGTTGAAGCGAGTTTTCAATACACCAAATCACTATAACAATAAATGCTCCATCTTACAACTTAAATCAGCAGTTCAGTAAAATTATATACTTCCATAATCTCTTAATAACATAGATATTCCATGAATGTTTGAAGGATTTTGATGTAATACAGTATTATACTGCATGTATGTAGCTTTGGGCTAACCTGATTTTGTACTTTTTCGAGCTTTCAAAATTAAAACATTAGCACAATAAAAAGACGTATCTCCTAAATCTATTTATAGAATCGCACAAAAGCTTCCATTGTTTGGAAAGAAATAAACAGTTTCAGCTGACTTCGTTAGGAGAAATATAGGTTACGTTACATGTGTATTACATTGATGTTATATTAATGATTTAAAATTTGATGGTAAATTTATGACATTAACAGTCGTCTGTCGCCATCTGTCTGTCCTTTCAGTGCGCAAAACTTACTTTCTAATCATTGAACATGCAAATGCCGCTGTATGCAGATTCTGTATAGATTTTGAGAGAGCTATAAAAGTTGAAATTGATGATGACATTCATGCACTTAATTACGACATAATGATGTTGGTTAAATGATTCTGGAGAAAATAGATTTAAACAGGGATAGTTAATTATTTCATATCACTGTAAAAATGACAGTGAGTTTTTATTAATAAACTAATTTTGCATTTCCTGTGTCCGATGATGATGAAATTATGGAGAAGAAGACTTCAGAACTGTTTTATATTCTGCTTGAAGGGTTTTTGAGAAATACAATTTAATTTTTCATTTTTTTATGGCCCTGCAATGAAATGGGGTAGGGGAGCATATTACCAAGCAGGAGAAGATCTTGTATGTGTGTGTGTGATCAAAAAAAGTATATACTTTGGGTCTGGGCCATAATTTCTGCTTGTGTGATGGGTTTATACAATAAATTGATACACATGACTATTATAAGAAGACAATGTGCTGAACATATCAACTTCAGGTCTCATGCTCAAAGGTCAAGGTCACAGCAGGGTGCCTTAATTTAATATGCATGAAAAGAGCAATTGGAAAGAACTTAAGTCAACCTTATGTTAAGAAATCAGTCTACTTTGTAGGTTCAAAACCCATGACCAGTTAATGACCCCTTTTGATTTTGAGGACATTAGGTCAAAGGTCAAGGTCAAAGTTAGTCACTTTTATAAAATCCCTTTCTGATAAATAAATCCTAGGTTAATGTTACTTGCTATGGGCTGTGGCCAGTAGATGACCCCAATTAATTTTGAGGTCATTAGGTCAAGGTCAAGGTTACAATGAAAATGTGATTTCAAGTAATTAACACGTAATACAGGTGTCAGATAAAAAAAAGCATGGTTTTGCTCTAATATGACTTGAACCCATGTTCACTGGGTTGAAAAGCAGACACATTTACAAGTTAAGCATCTTGAATATATATTTATTTGTTTATGAAAAATCAGTTCAGATTTCTTTGCTATGAATTATTCAACATTATAACTCTATACAAGGAAATAAAAATTTATTGCATAAAGGAAGTGAAACCACATTTTGTGATTAGAAAAACTATTCCTTCTATATAATGTTGCTGAATTCACAAGAATTTGCGGTGATAACTGTGATGGAAGTGGTGTTTTTATTACTTTTAATAGCATTTGAAGAGCATTGTGTTTGTTTTTGTGGTTATTTTACTGGATATTTATTAGTTGTTATCTTAGGCAGAACCTTTTTTTTTCAAAAATTTGATTTGAACATTAAGAGAATGCGGATGTTTAAACAGGCTTGTTTTTCAGATTGCATGAATACATATATATGTTCAGAGATCCTTAGAGGTTATTGTCTCTTGCTGTGGTAAACTGTTTTCAACAATGTAGTATTCAAATAAATATCTATAATTATTGAAATAAAAAGGACAGTTATTGCCAATTAACACGGAGCGACACACTTTGCCATTTGCCGCTGTCATTATGACAAGAAGTTCATTACAATCGGCGACTATATTTGTATATCCGTAAATGTTTGTTTCCCCCCCTTTACATAATTAAGAGAATAATTTTATAAAACAGAATTTCCTGCAGGTTTTTTTGTCTGTTATAATGAGGTGAAATATCCAATCTGCTTTTGGTCTCCTCATAAATTTTTGTTGTTGTAAATGAAAGGTTAAATCTGCTTGTGTCAGTTATTGTTGCCGCATTTAGTAACTTGTTTATACATATATGAGCCACGTCATGACAAAACCAACATAATGGGTTTGCGACCAGCATGGATCCAGACCAGCCTGCGCATCCGCGCAGTCTGATCAGGATCCATGCTGTTCGCCATCAGTTTCTCTACTTGTAATAGAGTTGGTAAGCGAACAGCATGGATCCTGGTCAGACTGCGCGGATGTGCAGGCTGGTCTGGATCCATGCTGGTCGCAAACCTATTATGTTGGTTTTGTCGTGACGCGGCTCATATAAGGTTTGTTTGGTTTGAAAGAAGTGCAATATTTTGCTATGATTATATTGACCTTGGTCACCAGAAGAACTACGGTTGGCCATTTACAAATGTACATGTAAATTTTCTTATCTCAGATCAACAGAAGAAGAAAGGTTGACCATATACATATATATTTTCTTTTATCTCAGATCACCAGAAGAAGAACTTGAGGTGACAAGTCCTGGTAACAAATATAATCTGTCACTATCAGAACGTGTTCTCAACATCACCAACAAAGCACAGGTACTTTCACTTGTTCATTTCCCCAAGATTTTCAAAATTTCTTTGTTGGGCCTCAGTGGCCATGTGGTAAGGCAGTGTCTATTCTAGGATTCGAAAAACAGGGGGTAATTTTATCGAAAAGTGATAATTTATTACATTTGTTGATCTTTTTCCATCTGTGTCTATGTAAAATTGTTCCCCTTCCTCTCAAAAAATAGGGGTGAATTCTCAAAAATAGGGGTGAATCCCCCCATCGCTCCTCCTAGAATAGACACTGGGTAAGGTTGCTGACTTCAAACCATTTTTCCCTTATGGCTGTGGGTTCAAATCTCGTTAGCGACTTTGGATTATTTCATATGAGAAAGCTATCAAGGTGGCTTATGGAAAGTTGATGGTTCTTCTCAGGTGCTAACTTGGGCCTGAAATTATGCACTGAGGGGCACCTGAGGTCTTCCTTCACCACTAAAGATGGAAAGTCATCATATTACAACATTTTGCTACTTAAAATCCAACAAGACAAACACACAACTTTTCTTTGATTATAAAATCTTATTGCAATTAAAACCAAAATATTTCTTTTTATACCCCCGCACAACAAAGTTGTAAGGGGGGTATACTGGAATCAGCTTGTCCAGCCGTCCGTCCGGCCGTCGGTTTTTTCATTTCCGCCCTATAACTTAAGATTCCTTTGACCCACAGTCTTCATATTTGGCATGGAGGTTAGTCATGATTAGTAGATGACCCCTATTGATTTTGAGGTCACTAGGTCAAAGGTCAAGGTCACAGGGGCCTTGACTTCAAAAAGCTTGTCCGCCCAATAACTTAAGATTCATTTGACCCTAAGTCTTCATATTTGGCATGGAGGTTAGTCATGATTAGTTGATGACCCCTATTGATTTTGAGGTCACCAGGTCAAAGGTCAAGGTCACAGGGGCCTTGACTTCAAAAAGCTTGTCCGCCCAATAACTTAAGATTCCTTTGACCTACAGTCGTCATATTTGGCATGGAGGTTAGTCATGATTAGTAGATGACCCCTATTGATTTTGAGGTCACCAGGTCAAAGGTCAAGGTCACAGGGACTTTGACTTTAAAAACTTTGTCTGCCCAATAACTTTAGATTCCTTTGACCCACAGTCTTCATATTTGACATGGATGTCGATCATGATTAGTAGATGACCCCTTTTGATTTTGAGGTCACTGGATCAAAGGTCAAGGTCATAGGGACTTTGACTTCAAAAAGTTTGTCCACCCATTAACTTAAGATTCCTTTGACCCACAGTCTTCATATTTGGTATGGATGTTGATCATGACTATAAGGTGACCCCTATTGATTTTGAGGTCACTGGGTCAAAGGTCACGGTCACAGGGACCTTGACAAAAAAAAGCTTTTCTTCTCAATTGCTAAAGAATGTCCTGTCCGCAATGTATTGATTTTGACATTTTCACATTTGAAGCATGTAGAATACATAACTTAGCAATGCACTGGCTTAGTAACCTCAGATTTGGCAGGGAGGTTGTCCTTGAGCTCTAAATGGCCACTGTTGATTCTGACAAAGTGGTATGCGGGGGTATTCACGCCATGATAGTGGCAGTTCTAGTTAAATTTGTTGTGTTTTATATCAAGGTAGCACTAACTTATGCTGGTGGAGAAAGATTTTGGTAAATTATTTTGGTGGTATGAACACAATGAATTTAAAGCTTTGAAAATATTTGGTTCAAATGGGGTATAAATATAACTGAGCACATAGAAATAAAATATATTTATGTCGCTTGATTGTAAAACATTTTGTTCATTTCCAAGCTGAAAAGAAGGAACTTGTTGCTGTCTCATTTACCTTTGCCAAACTTTATAGCAACAGTGCTTGACCGTAAAAAAGAGGAGTCCACTTGGTGTGAGTTACTGTAGTTTCAAAAAATGTTTGTAATTGATAGCAGATAATGTTTGCATTGCAGCTTTTGTAGTCATACCTCATGATATGACAGCCTGACAGTAAAGAAACCCTCTCACTGAAAGGTTCAATTTGCCAAAGTTTACAGCCTCATTTTGGCACAAAAGGGGTTGTTGTTTTGTCAAATATAAGTGAAACTTAAAAGTTGCAACTAATATTTTGTCTTCATTTTCAGACACCTGTATATGCCAAAAGGTACAAGTCAACTTATGATTGGGCAGATCCAGTTCACAATGTAGATGTGCAAAAAGATGTAGATATTTTCAGTGCATCTCAAGTTTATGTAATTCCAAGGTAAGGGGAAAAAGAAAAAAGATATTTTGGTTTAGGGTTGTCCATGACCAAGTGGATAAGGTTGTTGACTTGAGACCATTTGACACTCAAAGCTGTAGGGTTCGAATCCTGTCAGGGACTTTGGATTCTGTCATGTGAGAAAGCTATCCATCTAGCTTAGGGTATGTTGGTTTTTCTAATCAGGTGCTTGCTTGTGCCAAAAATAATGCTTGTAGGGGCACCTGACCTGAGGTCTTCCTCCACTTATATAGTTTGAAAGACACCATATGACCTTTAAACTGTCAGTCTGACTTAAAACCTAAAAAGAAAAGAACAGGTATATGGGTAGTAAATTGCATCAATAGGCTAATGGTAAATCATTGACCTTTTATTCTGGGACTGCTTGAATGTCCACGCTGGCCTGGCTTTATACTGGTAGCACTTATTACTTCTGATTCCTGAAGTTTAAGTGTTAAAGGGTAGACAGTAGCTTACTTGTTTCATTCACAGTATTTAGGCAATGGTTCCTGGTCTGCTCAACATGTTATTTACACATAATGTAAGACATACATGCCATAATTTTTGGACAGCTTTCCGGGACACTTTTCATCGCGGCAATAATGGATTTGTAGGCAGTTGTGGAAAAGGGGGGGTGTCAATCGTATAACGTTATTAATTAGGACGACTTTCTCCTGAATTTTAATGATAAACAGTTAACTTACTAGTTTTATAAGTAGTCTTTTAGGTCGACATAATTATCATTTTATAGTATTTCTTTATTTCATTTATTATTCCCTAAAAGCAAGTAAGTTGTAAGTTATTATTTATTATAAACCCGGTGAATGGGCGCAGCCATGTTGTTCACCCGTTATATCTTAAAGTCGTGATAATTACTACATGTCACGAAATGCAATTCTTCCAGTCATAAAAACAAACACAGCAAGGTGATTTATTTGACACCTTTAATTTTTTATTTGATAGATATATTTACATTGTAATAATTAGACTTTCGGCAAGTTAGCGATTGATCTAAAAATTAATGATTATCGGGGATTAACGATTATGGTTAAGGGCCGTAAACCATTAATTAACCCGCCCATTAAACGCTGCCGAATTCAACAGAGAATGTTAATTGCCGATGCATGAAGAAAGCTATTGCCGAGGGGAATCAACAGTCGATAATTGGGGGGCTGTATATTGTAAACTTGTAAGTGTCAACGTTCCTGTGTATTATGTGTACCAGGTCAGAATATGTTTTACGATCGAGAGGTGAAATGTGCGAGATTTGATTTAAGAAAATTTATAAAAATTTTGCAAAATAGTCATGATTTTTTTTTCCGGGATCAAATTGATGCCCGGGACATCTCCGGGACAGACATCCGATTTCCGGGACAATCCCGGGCATCCGGGACGTTATGGCATGTATGTGTAAGAGGAAGGATAAAAGTTATCCAGAGATATTTTCGGAAATTGTGACCGATTTTTTTATTCAGCAAGATTGAGATAATTTTGTATACTCGTGGGTGTAGGTCTCATATAAATCTCTTCATCATTGACCTTTATTTAAATTAACTTGTATAAATTCATAATGGAATTGTCAAAACAGGCAAGACAACTAAATTTATTGGTCCACAGCTATTTTAACCATGTGCTGATTAAAGAGAAATATGAACTTTATTTACATCGGCATGATTTACTGGAGTACTTTCGTTCTATTTTAGTTTAAAATGACTTTATCAATGGCACTCATTCTTTTCTGTGTCATTCCCTTGTCTATATCCTTCATTCTATTCAATTACATATTGTTTGAATGCAGCTTATTATATTTTCATTGTGATGTTTAGAATAAAAATGTCATGGTTACGAGTTCTTCCTTGTGTTAAATATTTACTGCGTTTTAACTTCCTTTAACGATAGTGTTCGAAACTTCCGTTACAGAAAACTCGGTGCTTTACAGGAAAAGTTGATTTTTAATGCAGTTGGTTCACAACTTCACAAAAGCTTTTTTATTTTTGAAAAAAAGAAATTGCCTGTACTGGTCAATACTGGATTTTGAATAATTGCAAGTTAGTGCAAAATTGTTGCATCTTTATCGTTATTTCATACAAGTTACATCAGTTTGTCATCAAACGCTGCACACAATGATTTTCTATTAAGATTTATCTTTGTCATAATGAGATAACGTCGACCTTTTCAAGGTTGACAACTTCGATATGCGAACATTGTTTTTCCTCGGAAGTCTCGATACAACAATGAAATATTCTGCATACGCTTGAATGTCATTATTGATATTTATGTTAAATTTATGACCACACACCTTTATTATCTGCCTTTGATATACCATTATGTTGTTTCTTTTCAAAAGTTTAATTAACATATGTAAATATCAAAAGATCATTCGTCTCTGCCGTTTCTAGATTTGTTTGGAAAAAAAATTGCGGTAAAATGGTTTTAGGCAGACATCAATTGTAAATGATTGTCATTTTGGGAAAAATTAAATATTTACTGAAAAGGTTAATGTTTGAATGATGTATATATTTTTTAAGATTTTTAGGTGTGTTTTTTTTAGATTACATTGTGTAAACAAATAAGATATGCATGTGTGATTGCAACTTTGGCATTTAATGCTTGTTATATTAGAGCTAAACATAGCATAGAAACAGATTAGGACTTGAAAAGCTGAGATGCTTAACATTTAATGTTCTCTGTATAAGATTTTTGTTTCTTGACTGTTGGGTTTCAGATATATCGGTCCAGTCATCCCAGAGTTGTGGCCCCTGACAGTTAAAAGTAAAGCGTTCAATAGACTGCTTTTTATGGCCAAATGAATGGAAAATGTCAGAAATGTAAGAGTAATGGCCCCTGACTTAGTGAGTAATTACTGAAGGCACTGAAATACTATATCAAGTACTCAGTACAATGTATGTAGAGTAGCAACTTTTTTGAGACAAAGATTTTGGTTGCTCCTGAGCGATGTTGCTTTGGAGATGTTTAATTTGAGCCGCGTCACGACAAAACCAACATAGTGCGTTTGCGACCAGCATGGATCCAGACCAGCCTGCGCATCCGCCCAGTCTGATCAGGATCCATGTTGTTCGCTATCAGTTTCTCTGCTTGTAATAGAGTTGGTAAGCGAACAGCATGGATCCTGATCAGACTGCGCGGATGCGCAGACTGGTCTGGATCCATGCTGGTCGCAAACGCATTGCGTTGGTTTTGTCGTGACGGGGCTCATTTATTTTGAAGTATTACTTTCAAGAAAAATTATACTGTTGATGTAAAAGATGGACATCGCTTCAGAAGGTGCACTGTATATTCAAAAAGAAAACATTAAAAAAAAAAACTATATTTGTCAGAACTTTTTTAACCTAATGAGCCAATCACCCACTCAGTGATCTCCCCTTACAGGATTAGATCTCTGCCGTCACAACATTTTTTTCAAGATTTTTGATGATATGACTTTTTCAAATTTGATACTTATTTGAAAAAAGTAAACACAGTTTTGCTAATGTTTTAAGATTGTTAAGTGTTAGATGTGAACTAAAATGAAAAATAATTTCAGAAATATAAATATAATGAAAATAATTTTTGTTATCGCACCGTTTATTTCCAAAACAATGGACTCTTTCGAAAGAAAAATCATTCAAGTAATTAATAATTTCAATTATACACTTAAAATTTTTTTTATTATTTTTTTTTCAATCATTTCAACAGACTTGACACCAGAGCTCAGGTAATAATGTTGCTGTTTATTTATAATTACAGATAAAACAATAATTGTTCAATGATTTTTTTGGTGTTACTAATAATTCGCCATCTTGACACAATCATGTGATAAGACCATCATCATGTGATGGTTGTGAAGGCTATGGTTACTGGCTGTAGTGTAACGGGTGCACAGAGTTTGCTAATGAGCATATTAGTATTCAGGAAAATGGTGTCTAAAAAATTTTAAAAACTGAAGGCCTGCCACGTCAAACTTACATCAGACTTAACCACCTTTAGAAACTGATTTCCGCCTATGTTCAATTATTAGTGCAACACCCATCTAAAATAAAAAGCACCATGTTACATTTATACACCCTTGACACAGCATACAAGTACTAGAGACCCACCCAGGTACTACAAGTACACCAAATTAATTGGTATGTAATACATAACTGATAATTGCATACATAATAGATCATAGTTATAGATTTACATGTACTAGGTCAATTTTTTGTCCAGTAAAGTGTACCTAGTTTTAATATAAAATGAAAAAAAAGGTAGGAAATGAAAATAAGTGACAGGGTTCAGATAAATAAATACCAGTAAGGTGTAGACAAGGTTATTTTAAGGCTTGTTCACACATTAATCAAGGTTTTTATATTCCTACAAAAACAACAAATTTTACATATTTTAAGGGTAAAAACATAATGAAGATTGATGATTTAGAAGGTTTAATCATTTTATAACAACTGATTGTGTATATTAAACCCAATACACATTTGAGCCGCGTCACGACAAAACCAACATAATGGGTTTGCGACCAGCATGGATCCAGACCAGCCTGCGCATCCGCGCAGTCTGATCAAGATCCATGCTGTTCGCTTACAAACCCTATAACAAGTAGAGAAACTGATAGCGAACAGCATGGATCCAGACCAGACTGCGCGGATGCGCAGGCTGGTCTGGATCCATGCTGGTCGCAAACCCATTATGTTGGTTTTGTCGTGACACGGCTCATTTATGTTAATGTTCGTACATATTTAGCTTGTCTGTTTTGAACAAATGTCGAGCTATAATGATTGATAAGCTGTCGTTGTTGCAAAAACTTAAGTGGTGCCCAGAATTTCAAAAGGTATCATTATTAAACTTTGAATTCTATCTAATGATGACAAGGTGCAGTTGTAAGACAAAGGGCATAATTATGAAAGCAATATTATTTAAGTTATGTCCATTTTTGTTTGAGCGTTCATAACACCACATCCTGTGCTCTTGTTGCATTGTTTCTTCTGATACACATTTTTTTTTTGTGATTTTTGTAAATAACCATGAAGTACATTCTGGCATAAAAAAAATATGTTCACTTTTATGTAATGAGCAAGGTTAAAAAATTACCATGACCCATTGATTTTTTTCTGCTTTGAAGTATTATAATCTTTCCTAGCAATGAAACTCAGATGAGCGATCTGGGGCCACTTTGGTCCTCTAGTTTTCAACTTGTTTAAAATTGTTAGATTTTATGTCAAGTAGAAAAGATGATCAATCCAAGGCCGTCTTGTTTTCAACTTTTAAACTCCTTTCTAATTTTGGCTGATTATAACATCTGATAATGCAAGACAGATTGGGATACCTTCATGAATGTTTGAAAAGTAGTTAGATTTTATGTCAAGCTGAAAAAGATGCAATTAAAAAACAGGTTGATGTATCGATGTGGTTAATTGATAAATAATACACCGTCATGATCTATTATCGTAAATAAGTTTTAGAACCTTTAAAGCAGACAGTAAAGGCACTTAAAATGCAAACGGATGCATGTTTTTGTAGTTAAATTCTCATATTACTCAAATCAGATGAAAATACGCTTTATTTATGACAGTTCAGTGTCTCAGTTTTGTTTTTGAAAATAAATTACGATATATATTATTACATAAATTGCCAAGAATGCAAGAATGCTTTCATTATAGCGTCAGCATTCATTACAATTTAATTATGTTTCAAGTATGACACATAAATTATCTTTTAAGGCATATAGATGAAATTGTAACTTTGCCCATTGAGAAAATATTGAAGAGGTGATAATGCTTCAGTCAGTTGTTAAACCACACCCCCCTTGTGGAATCTATGTTTTAACTTTCCATCTATGACACACACCATGTACTGTGAAATCAATATGATTGTTTTTTTGGGTTTTTTTTACTAAAAATAATCTGCTGGGTAGAAATTATGTTTTGTCAACTTTGTGGTTGTAGGGGTGGGTAGAAGGAGCTTAAAGCATGGAATTAACTATTTGACTATCTTAACAGGGTGACGCCTCAGTTAATTTAATTTATTGTATTACCAGTAGTTTGAAATATCAAATTGCCTGTTTTTCCCTGGGGATGGGAGGGCCATGGTTACGATTGAAGTGCATATTGATTTTCTTATGCCCCCAGTATAGAACTATGCTTACCTTCAAATTTTGTATATATCCTTGATTTGAATAACCTGAACTAGCTTCCACTGAATGTACCCATGTGACCAGTGCAGACCAAGATCAGCTGCCACATCCATGCCACTTCATCAAAGACTGCACTTCGCTTATTAATCAGTACTTATTTTGAGATATTCCCCTAAAATAATTTTGTCTATATTGACAGATGAACAAGTTCAAGATATTTACTAGCATGGTACGAGTTAAAGCTGCATGCCTTGATATGAGGACTCAAAGTTTTTATTATTAAATGTTATAAAGAGTTTATAGGATGCATAAATATTCATAATGCATGTTAGCACTAAATGTGTTTTATGGAAATATACTTCTTTAGTAAAGGTAACGTTTGCTTTTTAAGTCATACTGACATTTTCAAGAATCGTATGGTGACTGCTGGAGGATGACCCCAGATGCCCCTCTGTGCATTATTTTAGACACAAGCTGTGGCACCTGTGTATAACCACTGCCTTTCCATATGCTGGCTGAAAATTTATTTGAGACACAAGAATCCAAAATCCCTGATGGGATTCAAACCCACAGCTGTGATTTGAGGCCACTCTTCCACAGAGGCCTACAGGTTTTGGCACATTGATTGGTCGATATAAGTGACCAATCAATGCACTTAACACCTGTGCAGAGGTGCCTATGGCATCTTTTTAGTTTTTACACATATAAGATAACTTTTGTTGATTGTAACTGCTATATGCTAGCTTGAATTAATGCAAGTTTTTCTTGTCAGTGTTTTTAAAGCTTGCAAACATAAACTCGTTATAGTATAGGACTGTTACATTTATTAGATGGGATAAAGGTTAATAATTATAGTTTCATTTCTATTTTAGAATTCATCCGATCAATTTACCTGACGTAAATGCGTAGATACAATATTTGCTTAAATTGACATCAGTGTTTATGTTTTCACATGTCATTATAACTAACAGCTGGTCTAGATAATTGTATTCAAGGTGATACATATAATTATATATAAAAGTACTTAGTAACCTAGATCATAGGATATTGTCCTTTCAAGGTGTTCCCGTCATTAGAAGTTTAATTTTTTTTGTTTATTTCTGTACTTAACACATTAAATGAAATATTACTATTCCAATAAATATTTTTTAGGTTTGTGTATAATTCATAAATTATTTTTTGTTCCCTTGTGACTGAGGGGTTGAGGCATTAAAATTGCAGCCACAATTTATCCTTGTATGGTTGTAATAGGCAACAAAATGGATATGAATTACTTGAGTCTATGCATCTCCTTGCTACAGCAGGTGGGGTGGTTTTGACCCATGCTGTTTTTAACACTCAAGATAAGCGAAAATCATCTTTCCTGTTTTGACGCCCTATGACCTAAATTGTGTTGGTCTACTGTAAAACCAAACAAAACCTAAATAAGTTTATCTATTATGTTTAGTATTATAATGAATAAATCATATTATAATTCAGCCTATTGAATTTCCTTTATTTCAGTAAAACAATTGTACACGCAGGAAACAAGTTTAGCTCAGGGGAAGCAGCAAAAGTTTTGGAAACCATACTTGATCAGGAAAATCTTACAGAAACTGATCCAGTTCTTGTTCCTACCAGCTCAAAAAGCTCAGAAAATGAAAAAACGGTGTCAACCAATCAGGAAAACACAAAACAAAACAACAAAAAACAACATGAGAAGCAGTCTAAGAAGAGACAGTTACAAGATGGGAACCAGTCTAGTCAACCAGAGAAGAGAAAAAAGCAGGACCAGTCCAAGTCATGTAGAAGGAAGTTGCTACCTCAGGTCAAAGGTCAACAGTCATTGGCCAAATTTTTCAGGGTGTAATTATGATGAATTTTGCTAGTCATTAATATGTAATGTCTGATTTTTAAATTTGATTTTTCTTTTTTCTCTCCAATGCACTACTTCTGCTTAGAAAAGCATGTAATTCCTGTAACAAGAGAGGTGGCTTTGTAGATATCTCCTTTTTAATCTGAAGATAATTGGTTTAAGCTCTTCTGTATTCCATCCTGTGAAATCAGTTCTACCTATTTCCAGGACTGAGTCACAATTCATAAAATGTGTTTTCGCTAAAAAACTTTTCAAGAAGTTTTCTTATATGTTTCAATTTTTTTTTAAAGTTTTAAAATATTTTCAAAAATTGGGTTTAAATATAAGTGATGGTAATTTGATTTTTTTGTGTGTGTTTTTAATTTTATATTTCATGCCAGTTATTTTAGCATTTATTATAGTGATATTATTTATTCTGGATATTATTATAAAATCTTTAATTTATTCTTGTATATTGATCATTTTTGTACATATGTTTATAATTTTAGTCAAATTTACAGGTACGTTTTGTTTTGTTATGCATTTTTTACATCTTAGGATAACTTAGTTTTACTGTTATTAAACACATAGCTAACAATATTGAATTAAAGACCCATTTCAACCTTTAAGTCTGTGCAGTCTGACCAGGGCCTATTATATACTGTTAGCTGACTTAAGCTGACTTCAGAATTTCATCCATATGTCCATAGGATAAAAAGGTCAAAAACCAACACAATTTATCAAAAACTTGTTTCACTTAAAAAATAAGCTTCATCAATTGATAAATAACAAAGGAAATGACGAAAATGTACCAAACAGAGTTCTATATCAGTAGATGCAACATTTGGCGCGTAAAAGAAATGTTATATAATAAGATAAGTTGTTTATTGCTGTTTTGTACAATAAAATACACAATAAAATATAGAGGTAATTGTTTTAAATAGCACATACAATTGTCGAAAGATTTACATAAAGTAACTGGATCAAAAGATACATAAATTTAAAAAAGAGAAACTAGGCTAGTAAATATGCCTATGAAATGATAATAGATTCTAAAATTGATGATGTGCAGTTCCAAAAACGAAAAGCTGGAAAAGTCGATTTAAGAAAAGAAATTCTTGAGGTTAATGGTCAAATAAAACTAGCTATATCCTGTTTTGACTGCCGTAGTACTAAAAATAGATTTTCATGTCGTAAAAAGACAAGGCGCTATTTGTCTTCACATATAAGATCTGAACAATGTCACCAAAATGCACTACAGTGAATAATCAGTATAATTTAATGTTAATTAATTCAAGTATTTTATATTTTGCCATCTTTTTAGAGATTACGACACTGTTGGTAATAACGATGTCAAATCAAATTGTACGACTGTCAAAGGTTTATTGTGAATTATGACCTACTTAGTTTTTTGTTGTTTATCTTCACTGTACTCTTAAACTGTAGTGGTTTAAATTGTTGGGTCATTGTCACTTCAAGGTTGTGAGCTGACGTGGTCACGTATAGTAAATGTACTCCTAGGTGTTGAACTGTTTACAGCTGATTTTTTTATGCAATATTTGCCCTGTTTGTAGTGTTGAAAGATGATATAAGTATGGTTCCACTGTATTCCTTTGTATTTGGGTTAAAGGGTGAAAGGATAGGAAAATTGTGAAATCTGTGATACTCTATCCAAAGTCATTCATTTACTTTTCAATTGTATTTTGTATTCCCTGCAGAGGTTGGCAAAGAAAGAGAATTTAAGGTTTATTACATAATAATCTTTTTAAATCATTTTCTTGTCATAAATATAAAATCAGAGATATTTGTGTGATCATTTTCTTGTCATTAAAAGAAAATCTGAGATATTTGTGTAATTATTTTCTTGTCATAAATGGAAAATCTTAAGTTGTTAATGTAATTATTTTCTTGTCATAAATAGCAATTATGAAATTTTTGTGTAATCATTTTCTTGTCATAAATAGAAAGTCTGAGATATTTGCATAATCAATTTCTTGTCATAAATAGAAATTTTGTGATCATTTTCTTGTCATAAATAGAAAATCTGAGATATTTGCATAATCAATTTCTTGTAATAAATAGAAAATTTGAGATAGAAAATCTGAAATACATATGTGTTATCATTTTTTTGACAATTTTCCCATCATAAATGAAAATACCATATGTAGAGTTTATTGAATTCTAAAATAAACATTGATGTCATAGTTTTATTGATTAATGTTTTAATATGTGTCTTTTATCAAGTATTTAAAAGTATCACTTTGTAGGTGTTTGTCTCATTTATGTATGTACATCCTTATTTTAAATAAATATTTGAACATAGTTTGTGAGTTTTATCTATGTTAACTTTATTTCTAGATTTGCCCCCTACCAGCCAAGTCCCCCCCCCCCCTCCCCCCCTCTAAAAAAAAATTTAAAAAAGAGTCAGACATTTGGTGAAGAAATTTAACATGGAAATGAAAGCAGCATTGCCAAATAGAATATATCTACTAGTTGAATTTATGTCTGTCCTAACATAACAAGATGGCCCTAAGTCGCTCACCCAGAAACAACTGCTTTTCAGTGTTGGAAATTATCCATTGTCAATATTTTCTGATATTAAATTTGATTCAATCAAATTAATATCAGCAAACTTGATAAAAGACTACCTTATAATGCTACAAAGTTTGGTGATCATCTATCAATTATTTCAGTAGGAAATGATGTTCAAAGGTTTTTTCTATTTTTGGCTTTAGTGGCCCCTAAAAGGGGCCAGTCAAATTAATATGAGCAAATTTGATAAAAGCGTACCTGAGAATGCTACAAAGTTTGGTGATCATCCATCAATTAGTTCTGTAGAAATAGACATTTAAAAGTATTTCTATTTTTAGCTTTTGCGGCCCCTAAAAGTGGCCAATCAAATTAATATGAGAAAACTTGATAAAAGACTACCTAAGAATGCTACAGACAAAATTTGGTGATCATTCATCAATTAGTTCTATAGAAGAAGACGTTTTAAGGTTTAACTATTTTTAGCTCTAGAGACTCCTTAAAGGGGCCAATCAAATTAATATGAGCAACCTTGATAAAAAACTACCAAAGAATGCTACAGACAAAGTTTGGTGATCATCAATTTTCTCGCAGTGAATTTAGCCCCTTTTCTGCAGAAAATTGATACAATTGTGCCATATTTACATCTGCATTTTCCAATATTTCCCATTACTAATTGAAACATGTTTTGATGAAGCACATTGAGCGCAATCCCCACAATATCTGGTAACAGAGGACTACTGGAACGGTACGCAGTGGGACACCGATGTCTTCTTTCGTTATTTTCAAAAGCATTTCATGCAGACTAGGTTCAAGAAATCATAATGTAACAAACAAAAACAGTAGCACTACTTTGACCCATTTTCATACCATTCAGTCAAAAAATGTATGTATACAATAATTCATATTCGGGGATACTTCCTAAAATATATTTAAAATACAGACAAATCCTATGTGACACCTTCGTGAAAGTCACCGAATGGATGATAAAGTGATATTCAATTACAAATGTACATCATGACCAGAGCTGCATTAGTCCTTAGGGTGTAGTACTTAAGTACCAGTACTTGCCAAGTTATGCAGTACCAGTACTAGATTTTAGCTTGGTACTGCAGTACCAGTACTTTTTTTTAGGAAGTAATTAAGTACCAGTACCAGTACTTTTATAGTATGAATGATTACACACTGTCAATCAAAAATGAAATAATCATGTATTTTTACATATTTTACTGATTATTTTTTTAACAAGTATTTCACATGTGTACACTTCAGTGAAGTGAATGTTCATTGATTACATTTAATCATAATAAGATTTTGAAATGTTTTGTCATTCATAGTAGCTCTTCTTGGGCAAAATATATTTCCAGCCACTGAAAACAGCCTCTCTACAAGTGCAGATGTACATGGTATTGATAAATACTTTTCTGCCAGTATGGATAAGATTGGGCTAGAAATGCTATTTCTTGACCAGTAGTTCAATGCGTCCTGAAACAAAGAAAATTGTATCATAGTTCTCATTATAAAGCTTCATAATTTTACTCTTTTCCTATAAATAGATGAATGATAGATACTTAAATTTGATGTTTTATGTGCAATAATCTTATCTTCCAATACTAGTAACATAATTCAATAATTACTCATACATTTATATACATATTAAAAAACTTACTTCATCTTTATAGATGCATGGTTCATTGAGATAAGCCTCCACTTCTGTAATGATCTTTCCTGGTCCTGATTGGTGGCGTTTGCGTGCTGGACTACTAGTCTCCATAAAGCTAAAGAAATTCTCCCTCTTGGCAATTTTTCTAGGTGGAGAAATGTCTTCAATTACCGTTTCACTACTTTTCTGTTCCTGTTGAACATCTAACAACAACATTTCTTCAAACTTCTGGTAGTTGTCAGGTTCACACCAGTCCAGTTTGAATCTTGGATCTAACATTGTTGCTAAGTTATATTCGTCTTTTTTTCATAATTAGCTAATCGAGAATTGATTGATTTTTCTAAGCTTTCTATGAAGCTAACTGTTTGTCTTTCAGGCTTTCCAGTTATTTTCTCTTATGAATCTGTCTTTCCACCCTTCACATTTTCTAGTCCATGCTTAAGTTGTAAAGTTGTGGGTATAGCCAAGCTAGCAGACACTGATTTCTCTTTTTGCACAAGGAATGAGGCAGATTCAAAGGGCTCTAGAACTTGACACAGTTCATTCAACAACTTTCTTTCAAATTGAGTGAGTTTTGTTGGTATGTTTATTTTGTCTAACTTATCTTGATCTACATTAAGAACAGACCGTATCATCTTTAACTGGCTGTTCCATCTTGTAACTGTGGCTGTTTGAAGTCTTTGCTCTCCTTCTAATATATCTGAGGCTGTTGTTGATCTTCTTACATCGTTAACAATAATGGCTGACTTTGATAAAGCTTTTTGTATTTCCCGTCCACGAGACTTAATGGGACACCGAAGGCATCATGTATATTTCTAAAACACAGTTTATTCAGGCTTATTTAAAGGAAATCATACCGTAACAAAATAGACAATAGTACTACTTTGACCCTGTTTTCATACCATTCAATCAAAATACATTGTATTATCCGTTTTGTGTACAAACAGTATCAAAGTATCTGGTGTGTGATGATGATGATGATAATGGTCATATTTTTGGCCGGGTTGCACTGGTGCAAACCCGGGTTAAAGTATGGCGGGCGGGCAGGCGGACGGGCGGGAAAAAACTTTTCGTAACAGTTTTCTCAGCAACTACTTATCACAGCGTCTAGATATTTGGCATACAACATTGATACGTGGTCCTATACCGTTGGATTCGCTTTCAGGTCTGTTGCTTATCCACTTCCTGTTTACCGACTTAGTTAAATTTTCGACATAAATGGTCAATGGTAGGAAATTTTCGTAACAGTTTTCTCAGCAACTACTTATCACAGCCTCTTGATATTTGGCATACAACATTGATACGTGGTCCCATACCGTGAGATTCGATTTCAGATCTGTTGCTTATCCACTTCCTGTTTACCGACTTAGTTAAATTTTCGACATAAATGGTCAATGGTAGGAAATTTTCGTAACAGTTTTCTCAGCAACTACTTATTACAGCCTCTTGATATTTGGCATACAGCATTGATACATGGTCCCATACCGTGGGATTCGATTTCAGATCTGTTGCTTATCCACTTCCTGTTTACCGACTTAGTTAAATTTTCGAAATTGATGATCAGTGGCAAATTATTTTCGTAACACAACAGCATCATGATATTTGGTATACAAATGTAACCCGGCCTTTTATGTCTTTGACCCATTTTTCTATTTGAAAAAAAAACACTATAGAATGATATGTGTTTTTCAGGACATTACATATTTAAAGTAAATATTTAAATTGCTCATTATTTCATGCAGAAAAGTTTATAACAATACATATACTGGCATGCGAGCAGTTCCCGTACAAAAATCGTAGTTACTTAAACATTATTTTTTATTACGCTCACTCACCAAAATTTGAATGTTACACATCAATATTCGGCTCGTCACACAAATCATGGAAATTCCATCATGTTCTAAACATAGAATAACCCTTAGTTATGAGGCCTCATATGGGGTACCGAAATTATTCATTATTTTGTATGAAGAGAAGTAGTTCCCGTACATAAAATTTAACCCATTATAATTATACAATTTTATTATATCGGACCTATTTTTCATTTATAATTGTTGAACAGACCATTTTCTAAGAGATAAATAGATGTAATTCAGGAAATAGAAATTAGACTAAACGCGTGTATCTATTACCCGGTACCGTTACCCCCAACGCATTCACATGCGATGGCATGCTTGTATGCATGATATTTTATGCATCACAGCCATAAAATTATTTTATATAGTAATATTGGTCAAAATTCTGATAATTAAACAAGTTTTCATCACATTGCCTTCTTATCTGTAAACAGGTGGTATTAGTGGAAAACCCTTTAACATGCCTCACGTGTAAGTATGTTTGCGCATGCGCGCAAGGACGGAATCCCCCAGATAAAACAAGGTCACGTTTTGACAACGCACAGGTAAAAGTGATTTAAAATGAGACTTTTTATACGTACTGTCGAACTGACATTTAGATTTTGTCTCGTTTATGTATCTGCTTGATTTGAAATGAATTTTTGAAGAATGCATGTAAAAATCAAGCGTTTAAATGAAAAATACGGGTACTGCTTCTGTACGGGAACTGCTCTCGTTATTAAACAATTGTTACCATTTCCAACGTATGCAAATGCTTTGAAGATAATTTTTTTGAATGACCGAAATGTTGCTCAGATGAAATATGAAAACTTTAAACTTTATACCTTTTGAAGATTCCCGTTTTCTTGCGGATTTCCTTGTATGTCGATTTAAATTTTAAAGTGTTTGCCTAATTGCATTTACTGCTCTGTATACATGTATATGTGATCTATTATCTATTACAACTGCATTTGCACGTTAGATTCTTAGTTTGGTTTTACGGCGCACCAACACTGTATAGGTCAAATGGTGCCGAAACGGGTTAGATGATTTTGGCTAACCTCGGGTATTACAAACTTTAAAAAAAAATCCTTCTCACCTGTTGGAGCTAAGAGATGCATACACTCCAGTTATTCGAACCCATTAAGTCGGCTCTTACTCGTACGACCACGCAGGGATGCACTTTTTATGCCTCAACCATTTATAGCAACCCTTCTGCCACAAGGGGTTTACAAGTTAGATGGAATAATATTCAAGAAACATGAAACTGAAGACTGAGTGTCATGCATGCTGCATTTTTACGTTGTAGCTTTGTGGGTAGCTAAAACATATTTGCAAAAGCAGCTATCTTAAAAGTGTTTGTTAAATTGTAACGCAAAATTAACCCAAACGGACACCACAGTTAAAAATGCTCTAATTGTTCACAATAAAACCATATTAAAGACATAACTTTTTAAAATGATGATAAAATTTATTAATTGTATGTTCTGACAGACCTGACTAAAGAATATATAGAAAGGGCTTGCAGAATGAATACTACATACAGAAGACTGTCATTTAGCCATTCAACTGCTGGAACCGAAAATGATAAGCCATTGTCACCATTACACAGAGCTAGGCCAGTCTTCACATCCGTGCACACCTTCCTCGTCGTCTCTGTCTACTTTGTAGGGCCATTACCCTCGGCATTAGTCAGGACACCGGCAGCTGGTTCGCAGTTCGCTATCCCGACTTCTTCAAATCTTCTGCCGATGCCCTGTGCCTTCTCGGCGTGCAATCCCCGAGGGAAAGTGAGGACCAGTCACATTGTATAAATGTATGCTATATAACAAGACATTTATTTATGAATGAATACACTCATTAAAAACAACAACTTTTTGAAGTCTTCTTAATTTTACATTAAATTACAATATTTTAATATATTAATATTGACATCACTTATTCATGCTTTAAATCGGTAGAAAATACTTGGTTTCGTAATATAGATGCAACCACGACATGGCTATGCCCATTACTGTAATCAAAATGTATCAAAATGGCATAACATTATTTGATTTATGGACGTCGAAGGAAATATATTATTTGTTTTATAGATCTCGCAGAAATAAATAATTTGATTTATAGACATAGCAGGAAATGTATTATTTTTGTTAGTCATTCATAAAGATGATGAAGAAAGGAACATGTCATCATATAAATTTATCAGAGTCATCGCGATGCCTTTTTATGCTATTATGTATATAAATCTAGAGTGTTTAGTGAATTTTTATTGCACCATATTCTCGATATATGCAATATCATCATGGTACTGTTTTGCATAAGTATGTATAATTATTTATGTACATACACAAACTAAAAAAAGTTTTATATTGGCACATGCTGATTTCGAAGTAATTTATTGTTCATTTCAAGACACGAGTTTTGCTCTTTAATATGCTATCATCGTTTCATGGTCCATTAAAATTCGTTTTTTCCAATTTGTATTAATAGTCTAATTATAGGACTGCATGCATGCATTATCTATTTTTTTATTTCATATGTATCTTGCATAAAAACATAGTAAATGTCTGCATATATCTTAGCATGCACATATATATGCCATATGCAGTATTTATATCAATCACGCAGTATTTATATTAATCTATTAATTTTCATGTTTTATATATATGCTAGATCTTAATGTTTGATGGATTACCTTTTGTAAACTTTATACATTAAATAGTCAATCTTGCCTGAAAAAGCAAAAATGTTTCACTGAAATATTAAATGAGCCGCGTCACGACAAAACCAACATAATGGGTTTGCGACCAGCATGGATCAAGACCAGCGCCTGCGCATCCGCGCAGTCTGATCAGGATCCATGCTGTTCGCTTACAGACCCTGCTTACGCAGATGCGCAGGCTGGTCTGGATACATGCTGGCCGAAAATCCACTATGTTGGTTTTGTCATGCGCAGCTCAAATAACGATTAGATAAGCACCGTCGCGTTCAAACTACTGGCCATGCAATTTCGTCATACAGCAGTGCATGTACTAGTTTGCTTGAACATTCAAAAAGCGAAGTACAAAGAGCAAAGACACATGACTGTTGATCAACAAACTACAAGGAAACAATGAATATACTATAAGAGTGGGAATTTTTAGTTGCAGAAACTTGTTTGGCCGCACTGTCTAGTCTTATTATACATTGTTGATTTTGGCATGTTTATAATCCTATAAAGACAACAAACTTATTTCACTTGAAGATGCATATGCTTCGTTGCATATAAAATCACAGATAAAGAATTGGCTTCCTCACATCAAGATCGCTTTTATGTTTTTTTTTTTTTTTTAATTTTTCTTTTCTTCACAACTCTTTTGCTCCATTGTTCATTGCAAGGCTTACAGTACATTACAAGCGTTTATAATAAAGAATAAGCAAAATTGTACAACAACACCCAAAAGTTACAAAACCACGATGCAGCACA